TGGCCTCTCTTAACCCTAGCAATGCTGACACTGACTGGCAGCAGCTCTCTGGGATTTCAGGCAAGAATTATTTCTTCTCTGTCTGAAGATGCTGGGCACTGCACCTGAGACCTTCTTTAAGCTGAGCATGTACTCTGCCAATTGGTTATGGCCTCTTGTTTAAAATAGGCATTGAACAACAATAGGACAATCCAGTGCATACAATTAAGTGACAGCCACTAAGCAACAGGGGTCTCAGGGTGGAGAATGTAAGCCAGTCCTCAGAGAAGTTAGTGTCTCTCTATATCCCATTATCAGGGATGCCAGGAGAACCCTTCAAACCTGAGAAGCACTTGACATCTCAGCAGCCAAAGCATTTGGCCTGCACAAGGCTCTTGGCTGAAGAAAATAGATTAGGAGGATTTGCATTCATATGCACATTCCCTATTAAATTGCTTTAGATCCAGAACAAAAATTGAATTTGTCTAAATGCAGTGAATGCCTCCAAATGGAGGTATTGTGCCACCAATTATCAGTATGCATTGTGCAGCTGTTTCAGCTTTTCCTCCTTAAGAGACGTTTTTCTTGATGAGAAAAAAAATGGTGAAAGAAGCAGTGGAAACACATGGGAGGACCACAAACTGAAGATGATACTGTTTGAACCCCATAATATTCTGTGAACAAGGCGGCATGATCATGCAATTAAAGCCTTGTCTGAAAGCACTCTGGGTCTCTTTTTGAAAGATCATTCTGAATAGACACAATTACTGGCACAACAGCCTACTAGCCATTGTGCCTTTTAACAGCAATGTTAGTTTTAAGTACTTTCTCACAAGTAATATATGAAGCCTAGTGATAGCTGTATGCTGTATGTCCACTTAGAAATATGACCCTTTGAGTTCATTGGGATTTACCTTCTGAACTGAATGCCTATACCCTTAGGCTGCAATCCTATGCACCATTTCCTGGGAGTAAGTTCCACTGAAAATTGGATTTACTTTGGAAAATTAAGACTGAATAACCAGTAATGCAGCACAAGGCCCTAAATAATGGCAAAATGACAAAGTGATGATCTCTTACGCCCCAAAATTATGGGATCTGTAGAGAAGAGAATGGGAACTGATCTCTTTTGACATCTAGACCTAATGCTTTGTGCTAAGCTGTTTCAACAATTCTTGCACCAACTGCTTTGAACATTCTTGACCTTTGTTTTGCTTTCTCTGGCATACATCCATTCTCTCCATCTACCTCTTCATGCAAAAGCCAGTCTTATTTTCTTCTTAATTCTTTAGCAACAAGGTCACTCTTGTCAGAACATCTAGGCTGGCTAATCCTACTAGGAAGGCAGGACATTGGGTCACCAATAAATAAATCAGTTAGCAAGAAAATGTATTTGGCAACTTGCAAGATGCTTTCCTGCACTGCACCTTGGGCTGAGTGACAGAAAGCTAAATAACTCCAAGCACACTTTAAACAAAATTACAAGCTTATGCCTGGAATTTAGCAAATAATAGATTTATATTTCTAAGATTCTGCTGCCCCCTAGTGGTTTCAATTATTTCACCATGAATGAGACCATACTCACTTTCTGGCCTCCCACCTGTTTAGTTTTCTTCCATCCTCAGGAGCCTGGGCAACATGTGGCTGTTTGCTATGTGTAATAGCCATCAACATAATGACATTACATTTCTGAATTTCAAATACTGGGAAGGGCACTTAACAACTTCTGCATTACACAAGGCACTAAGGAATAGAAACGTTCTTAATCTTTACAGTATGCACAGGTTTTTCTTGTTATTTTGTATTGCATCTTCTTATACTCCATCTACTCTGGCAGGGTGAGAATACAATAATATTTGCAACCAAAAACAGAGTAACTAACTAGAGAGCCAGGGTATTTTATTATGCAATTTGATTTGTGCATAGATAGAAAAATTGTCTAGGTAAATTAAGAATTTTTAACATTATTTGTATTCGTTGTTTTGAAATGTAGCCAAGGTATTTCATTTAAAAGGAAGAAAAGAATAAATTACCAGAATGGAAGTATGCTAAGAGTCTGAAACTTTGCATTCTGCTCTGGCACTGGCACTGGATAAGTAGATCTGTCTTTACTAAGTTCTGAAAATGTGGTGCCTGGTGTTATAATTTAATTGTCTGCTACCACTAAGTGCTACCATTTGAGACTAAGTGAACCCCCCCACACACACACACACACACTCACTCAACTTCAACCTGAGAAGCACAGGAGAAGGTGGGGACCGGGATTAGCCTGCCTATTCTGAGCTATGTAGAAGGGATATATTCTGATGAACACCTTTCCTAAAAAGGGTTTGCCACCATGGAGCACAAAACAAAGCTCAAAATAAAAGCTGCAATGGATAAGGTGTGCCCATGACATAGGAATCACCAACCATCCCAGTGTTGTACGGGAGAATTTTGGGCTGGGATTTGAGATAGTGGAAATGTACTGTCATAGGGCTTGCTCCATCATGAGGCAAAGGATCCAACTCAGCCAACAGATGCCAGTGAGGAGCAGCCACTGAACATGTTCCTCCAGAGCTCAAGAACTCGGATAGGATCAGGTTGCAACAGCAGAAGTGGGTTTGTGCTGCAGGGAAGCATGCATCAATGTAACCAATACTTATTTCTGGCCTCAAGCCATTCTTTAGATTTGGAAGGTCAGAGCATGCATGCATAGCCAGGCCTTATTTATCTTCCTGGTTCCAGGTAGTAACAGCTGGTGGCCCCAAGGTCTGTGGGGTAACTACCCACTTAGCAATTTTAGTTTGAGAGGCTATCCAGGGAGCTGGACCCTATCCCCATCAAAATAAGCTCAGAACCATGGACAGCTCCGTAAAAGTGCAGGCTGCCACCCACCGACATTGGAGCCAACAGCATCCACTGATTCCAGGACATTTTGAGCTGGGGTGCAGAACCTTGGGCACATATGCCAAATCCAGCCCTCTACGCATCTTCAGAAAGCTGTGCCCTACTTCCCCAACCATCAATTGTGTGATGGTTTCCTAATTTCTGTGCAATTTTCCTCCATGATAAAGAACTGAAATGCCTATCCTAAAGCTTACATCCTGGCAGTAAGAGATTTACTCTAAAATATGCTGGCAGGTTTTGTAATGTTGGCTCCACCCCATTTGCCCTTGTTCCCAGCCACTCCTGGAGTGCATTCCCTGAAAATTCATCTAGAGTGGAGGGCAACCTTTGGACTGCACCACTGTTTCAAGCTTTTAGGAGCTCTACCCCAACTACCCAATCAAATCCTTAAGAGTCCTTAGAACAGTGATTGAGTAGGATTGGTCAAGGCACTTTCTTATGATATTAAATCATCTCCTTTCCACCCAGTAAACAACTCACTTTCTAACATGGGGTACTGAACACGTCAGCTGCCATGGGCATATCTTATGGGTGCCCCAGATATTCACACCAAAATGCACTTGGCTTTGTGCTGCAGCAACACTGGTCACGCTTTCCTGAGCTAGTTGCCAGAGTCGAATTTCAAGGGTTACAGGACCCAACTGGTTTGACCAGAGGCCATGGCAAGACTAAAAAAATGTATTTTACAGGAAGTAATTGGTGCTACAATGCCAGTTGCATCTGGAAAGCTCTAACCACCCCCCACCCCAGCTCTCACACACACAGTCAGTTTTCCTGAACAACTTATGCAAGTCAAGTTCCCTGAACATCTTGATGATCTTGAGTGTCCCAGAATTAATTTTAGAAGTAAAGAACTGTTTCTAGATCTCATGGGAGGGGGTAGCATTTGGTCCTGTAGCCACTCTAAGCTGCCAAAGGATCTTTCTCAAGGACCACCATCCTTGCCTCATACGAACAGCCACTGTGTGTTTCCATAGCAACGCAGGTTCATTCACCAAACACACTATGCTCCCTGCTTAGCCGGGGAGGATAATGGCAGGACAGGATTGGTGAAAATGAGTAAATTGTTACTCTGTGCAAGAATGATAAGCAACCTGTACTGAGTTCTGCCTAATGAAGGATTAGGACACCAGAAATTTTATAAATCAATAAAAGTCAGCACCAGCCTTGTCAGCTTTATTTAGAAACACTGCACTACTTTAACCTTTCAGTAGAGATAATAATGCAATTTTTAAAAACAGTGTGACTTCTGAAAATGTGCTGCATGCATGAAAGTCTACAATTATATTTGGTCTTTGCATTTCGATTGTACTGTATGTATAAGCAGGGCTGTGTTTAGTGCTTGAGGCTGCCACCACAGACATTACCACTATTATTTCCTGAACAGTACAACATGGGTTGGTGGGGGGAAACAAAAGTTTCCTGGGATACTGATATTTTCTCATTTTATTGTCTTTATTTAACATTGCTGCATCGATCATCATCACCCTTCTGTGCTGTGTGACGTTAGCACCTTAAACCAGTGATTTTCGTCCTATCCCGACCAAAGACCATCTCTGATTTCCAACACGCAGCATGGGACCCACTTTCATATGTTCGCCTTTTGTTAATGTGAAGATGGAAGGAAAAAATCCGCTGTGCCACACAGAAGCATTTCTCCAAGCACACATTCTCCTGTTCCATACAGAATTTCCATTGTGTTCCAGGTACTCTTATTGACCATGCACCCTACAAAGTTCACTTAGCTGCCTCCTACACTATGGAAAATATTGTGATTTAAAATGGCATGTCACTGAACCCTGGACAGACCAGTGCAGCATTTTCCTTTATTGAGAGTGCCAAGTTTTGCTGCTGCTGCTGCTGCTGCCTGCTTATCTGGTGGTCCTTTGGTGCTTTGCATCTCTTGGTCCCCTGGGCATCCACCCACTTTTCCTCCCCCTGATAAAAGGTCTGTGTTAAGGAAGCTTGGAATTAAGTTAGGCACTTAAAGGAAAAGTGAGAGGGAGAGAGAAACAGATTTGGCTTAGATCTAAACTAAGACAAAATTACTAGTTTCTAATATTGCTCAAACTGGATACAGGTGTCTCATTGATTTAGTGCAATCCCCTTGAAAAAGAAACAGATTGTCTCACCAGTGCTAGGAACATCACCAGGCAGCATGTATCTGCTCCAGATGAAAGATGGCTTTTCTGCCTCCTCTATTGTCCCATTCCGATGTGTGTCATATTTTAGGAGGGTCTTGTACTGGAATGAGAAAATGGAGGAAGAGTTTACTCTGCTGCTCCTTTCCCTCAGACAACTAGGGTCATTATTAAAATCAAGACTCAGGTTAGGACCAAGAGGGATTCTGTGGTACCATATAGTAGGTGCCTTTGATACTAGCCAGCTGGATCCCCAGACCCAAAACCTAAATCAGTCCTTTAGGACAGATATTGTCTTTGCCTCCATCCCCTCTCGCCCAGGTTTGACATTCTGGATGTGCTTACTTCAAGACTGTCCACTGATGTGTACATAACAGTGAAATTGACATCAATATCTCCATACCCATCCAGCATTACAGGACCAAGAATACCTATAAGAAAGAAACGGTATCACTGATAACAGTTTGGCCATCTCCCCATGAAAGTGACATTTATGAACAACTAACAGGTGAATTTGCAAATGGTTCCATCTAAGGAGAGGGGCAAGAAATAGAATATTCACAATGGGGTGACTGTGAAAAGTTTTCCTGAGGGCTCCGACTGCATTCATGTCAGATGTTTTACCTGAGTATCTCTGAAGACTGAGGGCTAAACTAAGTGTTAATTTAAGTGCATAGTTTTACTCTTTCCTTCCCCACAGTGGAAATCCCAATGAAAATTTTCCCACTCAAGTATTCCCCACAACAAATAGCCTTCCCCCCCCCCCTTCCCAATTGTCAAAACTAGACTAGAGCATTCATTCGATTAGTTGCCCTTAGTCCTTTCCCCATCCTCATTTGTATCAAGTTCCCTCCTTCATCTGAAGACCAGAAATTCCAGGACTATTACAACTCTCTACATAGAAATAGTAGGTAGCCAGTGTTGTGTAATGGTTCAAATGCTGAACTGGAATTTGGAATATCTGGGTACAAGTCCACATTCAGCCATGATGCTTACTGGGTGATTTTGGGCTAGTCACTGACTCTCAGCTTAACCTACCTCTCAGGGATGTTATGAGGATAGAGAGGAGGAAGAAGATAATTTAAGCCATTTAGGTTTCCTTGAAGGAAAAAAGACAGGCTATAAATATAAGAAATCAGTCAATAAGTCCCACTGAGTTTAATGAGGCTTGTTCTGAGCTATGTAAGCATGCAATTACAGGCAGCATCCTAAATGGCTTGAGATTTGGATGCCTAAAGACTACCTGCAGATCTGCCTGCAGATCTACCCTTTCTTGATTCCCTGGTGGTTCCTTGCCTTTCTTATTCTTTCCAAAGAGATTTTTATTTTTTAGCACCTGCTGGAAAAAATCATTTGCCCAGGCCTTTTAAGTCTGCTGCTTTTATATGCATGTTCATACTGGAATAGCTGCCCTGTTTCCAATTTTAGCAAATTTTTAAAACATTTTTTGTTTTAAACTTTTCATAAGCTGATTTGGGAGCAAATCAGATTATAAACAAATAATATATATTTTTCTACAAGCATATATTATTTCATAGCTTGTATTGTTACTGCAGGATTTTGTAGTTTCTCTACATATATGGGAAGATGACGCTAGAAAAATAAGAGAAAACATCTTTGAGACATTTGGTCCATATCACCTCTGAGGTTCCATTCATAAATACTTCTGGACCAGGTGAGCAGGTTGTAGCCTTCCAGATATGTTGACCTACACCTCACACCATCCCACACCAGCTAAAACTTATGGGAAATGGAGTGTTTTGCAGAGTAAAAGATGTTCCACTTCTGCTCTACACAATATTTTTGCTCCCAGTGAATCAACAAAGCCTTCTCCAGCCCGGCTTCCTCCAGAAGTGTTGAACTGGCAACCAACACATTAATTCATTAATTGTAGAGGGTATACCCTTTCATGTACTTCATTAAAATAAGCACATGTGTGATTACCTTGAAAAGTGGCATTCCGGAATTCTTTAATGAAGTTATTAGATTGAATTGATTCTTTTTTGAAATAAAGATTTTTCAAGGCATGTCCAAACATCAGAATAGCATTCAAATAGGCAACAAGGAAGTCATCTTTCAGCTGATAAAAAGATGGTAAAAGTATTATATTGTATTATAGAAGCATTTTAGTGTAAACTGCACAGAATTTTTTATTATACTAAGTGGTATATTGTAAATTTTAAAAAACAGAAGCAAGCTTAATTCAGTTGTTCTGAATTAAGTTGTTCTTAATTCAGTTCTGAATCTAGACCACAGAATTTTCCTGGTTCAGAAACACAATGTGCAGCTTTTGAATTCACTCCACTTTTCTTTTCTTTCTCCAGACAAACAGCTTCACAGCTCCTTTAAGAGACAGACCTGCTTGCATTCTCTCTTTATGTCATGATTTCTATTAAACTACATGCTACCTATTGACTTCAAATGAAAAATAAAAGAGTTTAGTCTTCTTTACTGATCCTTGCATTTTCTGTTGCAGAGGATGTAAATAGTGCTGAAGAGGTTGAGTAAGTTATTAGTGGACCCCAAAACATTGAATAAGTTCACAAATGGATCCCACTTCAAAATGGTTGCATAGCAATGACTTAAGCCATATAAAAGACAGCAGATAATTTACAGAAGAGATGGAAGACTTTCATTTAATTCAATCAATTCCCTGAGTGTAGAATATAGCTCCAGATGCAAGCTTTTCTACATGAGGCATTTATTATGCACTTGTTATTCTTACATGTGGTTGTTTATGGTTCTTTAGAGGAGATCATGATCCTCCAGTTTGGCTTTTGCACCTAAAATGCACTTTGGGTGGGATTTTTTTTTAAGAGCAGGGAAAAAGAGGTATTATTTCTAAAACCTGAAGAAAACACATTTTCACTTCTGTACTCATGCTATTTCACAGCACCAAAGTGCCACCTAGTGTTTAAATAGCACAAAAACAGGAAACCCTCTATATAACACTCAAATCTGATGGGAACTGTGGTTCAACAACAGCTGGTGGGCTACATGCTTCCTACCATAAGGCTAATTAAATGTGTCATGAGTTTCAAAATGATACATAGTACAGAGAGAAACATACCAAGTATGTGATAGCCCTCTTCTCCCATCCAATGCCTAATATGAAAAGTCACTGCCACTAGTAAATGAAATATTGAAACAGTCTAATAGAACTCCATAATATGCATTGCCAACCTTCCAAAACTCATATGGATTTATGATTTAAATCTCACAAAAAGAGGAAATAGGGAACATATAAACCAACCCATCTAATTTCCATAATTTTAAAAAGTGTCTGTTAAAATTCAGTAAACATTAATGAAATACCCTCAGGGCCACTATCTCACTAGGCCAAACTATAGCCAACACAAAAATTGTCCTGAATCCTTAATTCTGTTCCACAGTGTGAGTTAAATCTGCAGCATATCCAGTGAAACATGGTATTTTACAGAAGTGTGCATAAGAGATGCTTGGAATGCAGGTGTCTACAGCCTGTTAACACACTGGATTAGGCAGGTGGTTTTAGGAGAGGGACTTGTACAGAACTGGAAGATGTAAAAGGCAACATCAGTCTGGGAGTAAAGTTGTGGGAGACCTGTGGGAAGAAAGGTGGTGGGTAAAGAAGCAGTTCAGCACCTCTACCCCATTTGGCACTTCTACTAAAAAGATCACCCATTGCTTCACTATATTTTAGTGAAGGCCAACATTCCAAACTACTGAAATGCTACCATTGCAAGTTATTCTGTCGTCTTTACATCTGTGAAACAATGGTAATCAAAAAAGACTCTTGTTTGCAGGGCTCGATACATCATATGAGTGAGTAAAGGAAAGATTATAGAATAGTTACCAATTTGATATCTTCAGGATCCACAGGAATCCCACTATAGTTTGAAAGTGCACTATAGTTTGTTGGTGCCAGCGTCAGGACAAGAACATTCTGCATGTACTTCTCTGACATAGAATTCTTATAATACGTATTACTGAAAAGGAAAGCACAAATGCCCCAAATGCTGTGAGAAGCAAAAGCAATATGAATGACAAGTTATTCAGCCTAGAGAGTGATACTTTCTTTAGCAAATTTGATTAACAAATTATACTAATGGAATCACATAGTGACCTTCTGGTTAGATTTAGGACTAGGAATATATTGAACTGCCCAGAGAGCATTGGCTTTTGAGTGGTATAAAAATAAATTTAAAAATGCATGCATACATCTTTTCCTAGAACCCAAGGCCTTCCTAGCAACAGTGTCTAACTTCATAGAAATATAGCAGCTTCCCCTTGGATGAAAAGGCTAAGAGGAGCTTCAAGATGTGTTCTTGGCTGAGGTAGTACCTATTGGAGCATCATGCTTTTGGCAAGGGGATGTTCTTTCAGTGTTCTGAATAGCAAGCAGTAAGATCACAGCTCTTCAGTGGCAATCCTATATAAGTCTATTCAAAAGAAAGTCCCACTGAATTCAATAAGGCATATGTCCAGGTTACAGGACTGCAGCCTCAATATATTATTTCAGCTGTTCCCCTGCATCTTCTGCAAGAGAGCATTTGTGCTTTCTATGGGATTTCATTATATTTTAGTCACTCCTGACTGTAGGACCTTGCAGCTACTGAGTCAGAAATTTGGGGCTACATATGTAGGGGAGGGGGAAGAAGGCATTCTGTCGGAAGCCACGGAGATGCCTCCTCCATTGAGAGCCACCGTCCTCCGAGCATTGGAGAGAGAGCACTGAAGGGAGAAGACTGCTACTTGTCCCTGCACAATTTCGAGCCACACACAAACACAGTTCACCACTTCAGACCTTCTCCTTCAATGCATCAGCTGTGCCATATGACTGGGATATGACAGAGGCAGCAAGGCCAGTCATGTGTGTTTAATCATGTGAGGACTGAATGCCCAAGCAGGGAAGAGTATCCAGGAAATTAGGTCTTTAAAGAAAGAAACTGTCACTAATAGTTTCAGTGTTTACATTTATTGACCCAACACTGATTTGTCTAATCATATTACCCTGAAGGAATTCATTTTCCAAGCTTTACAAAGAAGAGCTTGCAGATGGTTTAAGTTCATGTTTATTTAAGAGAAATATTATATTACTTAAGCAATGCCATTTTAATATGCTGCTGAGTCCACACCCTTCTGGGTGTGAATTATTGCAATGCCCACTCATCCATGTTCAGAGGAAGTAAACACTGTCGATGTGTAGGGCTTCTATTGCTTACTTCTGTTCATTTGTTTTTGTCTAGTAGTTTAAAACCCAGCTTTTCAACCTGGTCTCTCTTCTCCCCGTCCCTCAATATCGTTCCTTAGAGTTCAATTTCTTGCATGTGCACTAAGTGTGTTTTAATGGAATTGCTATATTTTGCAGTATTGTATCAGTTAGACATTAGGAATGTTATTCTGTTTAGTGCTAGGAAGGTAAGTGGTTCAAACAATGTCACTCTTATGGGATGAAGGGCATGGAGTGTAAGATTACCCCATATGCGTGATGGCAGAGGCAACCTGGGCATGAAAGGGGTGGCCAAGCCACTTCATTGCGGTTTTCAAAATTCCTGCTTCTATGATAACATTCATGATATTTTGTGCGTTCATATTTAATAAAATTTTAGCTTGACTCTATGCATTCTATGAATTAGTATTAAACTTTTACTGAAGGGTTGCTAATATTTTGTCTTGAAATATTTTATTTGTATATGATAATTTTTCTGAAAGCTGATTGATGTTTCAGTTGCTGCTGTTTTTTCACTTGGTGCATTGTTAACCACTCTAAACACTGTTTTGTGGAATGGCAACACACTAATCTGAGGTAATCTATTTTCGGAATAGCAGCTTTAGAGCCACTGATCAAACAACAGGATACAAATATAATATATAATAATAAAGAAACAAATGAAACTCATCAGAGAAGTGCCTGACTGTGACTGGGTTTGCAGAAGAAAACAACCATGGTGAGAAACAAGTCATGGTGGGTTGTGCTGTCATACCAGCTGAAGGATTGGAGAGAAGGTGTATAGGGGATAAGGTGAGCCCAATCATCTGTCAGGCATAGTATGGGTTGTTCCACAAACAAACAACCCTCCATTGATTATACACAGGGTGGGTTGGCATGGTATGTGCCTATCTTGTTTTTATAACCCAAGATAGGCAGCAAAACCAGACAATGCGTTGAACCTCTAGCGATTCACCATATATGGCCTGTTGGTTTTGCAGGCATGTTTTGCAGGAACATGGTTTAAAAGAATGAGCTATGAGAGCAGAAGTTCCTGGTTCAAACCTGTAGACTAGTCACCATATATCAGCCTCAGCTTCCCCATCTGTCATGAAATATATTGGCCTATAGATATACTGGTCCAAGATACAGGGAAGTTATAAAGATTAGTTCAGAGAGATACATATATATATCCAAACTCATTGTGCTCAAAATAAATACTAAATTATCACATCATAGGAATCTGCATTTTTGCAGCTTTTAAATCTTTCTCAGAATGAACTGGAAAGCTGGATGTATTCAAGACCAAAGGGTTTTTTAAAGCAAATAATCATAGGCTTAAAATCTGCTAGATAAAGCATTGTAAGTTTTTCACCTTTTGTTGATCAGATTTCCCTAGACATGAGCTACTTTTTCCATTGAACTTTTAATTATAAAGGTCCACATATATTTTGGAGGGGCAAATTTGCCCTGTCTCCTTTGTGAGCTAATGAAACACTGAGCAGGACAATCAGTAATTCAAAAAGCCTCCTTCAGTCTGAGTTCCTTAATTATAACAAGTACAGTTAGGGCCAAACTGAATGGCCTCTTTCACGTGCATGGTAAAGCTAGGAATGCTACTTTCTTTTACCTCTGTGTAAGAGTGCATGACCTCAGTATGGAAAAGGACTGCAAGGGTACAGGAGTGGGGAATGAACCTCCCACCCATTTTTTTCAGGAAATTCCATCCCTGGTGGAAGCAGTTTTTCTTGTTTTAACCTCTGCCTCTACATGTGTGTGCAATTTCATGAAAAAACAGGTATGTTGAGGGGGAAGCTTAATAGTCCCCTTTCCAAAGTGCCACAATCCCAATATAAATCAGGGAGTTTAAAAAAACAAAACAAATCCTTAGCATGTATAACTTCACCATACTTGTTGATGGAATGTTTTGTTGTATCCTAACCGAACTCTAATTCTGACTTTCCATCAAATATTAAGGGTGTCTTATAGATAATAAGGTCTTGGATACATGGCAAATGGCTCACAAACCCAAATCTGCTAGAAAATAAACAATGTGGATGGAAGGATAATATTCATTTGGATTTCCTCAAATACTTGGACAAATGGAAGAAATGATTATGACAGTCATTAAAAGTATGTACATAAGGGTGAACCCAGAACTGTGTGTATTCTGTGACAAGGTGCACGATGCTGGCCAAACGTGGAAATTGGTCTTAGATACAGAAGTGATCATCCTAAAAGATTCAAAACTGGCTATCAAAGCACCACAAGTTTCTAGCCTAAATAGATGCAAAGATGCCAGTGACCAGGTTTGCATGATCACCCCAATCCACCGTGGCTGATCTGAGCCACATTGAGTTGCAATTCAGGCCAGCAGCCATTTTAATATGCAAGCCATGATGGGTGTATACCGTGGTTTTCATTTAATTTTATTATTTAATTTTATTTGTGCTATTAAAACTTGGGTGGTGTGGGTTACGCAGGGTTTGAACAATCCTTGCTTAACCCTGGAGCACCCTATGGGCTATATAACCCTTTCATTACACACACCACCTTAATTCACATGACACAGCAACTCAGCACACACCCATCACAGCTTGCAAGTTGAAATTAGGGGCTGGCATGTCCTGCTCATTAATTAACCCACGGTGGCTTCACATTGTTTGCAAACCACTGCAGTGGGAGAGTGGATGCTCTGTCCTTTTTCATGTCTAGTAGAAGTAGAAGCAATGACTGAAAATATAATGGTTTTTATCTACAAGAATTTTGAACACCCCATACTTAAGTTTCTTCCTCACTTTTTTCTTTCTTTCTTATATATAATTTCAATTACATTGACACAGGATATTGGTTATTTTTTAAAGTGAAAATAAACATACAACATTGGATATGACTCGGGGGAAAAACATTCCAGGGATAAGTGGTTTCCTTTATTCATTCAATTCTGCCCCCCCCATGCCCCCCCCCATTTGTAAGGTTTTTACCTGTGAAGATCTATCAGGATAATAACTATGTCCTTATCCACACTTTGGTCCCCTAGGGCAAATTTGATGTCATTTGGAGTACCACACATGATGATCACTGTAAACCAGAGCAGCACAGAGGGAGAGACAAAAGGTAACAAGCCATTTTGATTCTTTGTGAATATTGGATTTAGAAGAGCAGAAGATGCAATAACTTTAAAGCAGATTTTCACTAGCAAACATGTGGGAACCCAGAAAACTTCTGTAGAAGCCAGAGGTCAAAACTACAAGTCAGATCATGTGAAGATTATCAGAACAGCTTTTGTCTAGTTAACCATTTTATTTTTTTTTAAGGCTTTCCTGAAAGCAGAGTGGAAAATACTCAGCTGGTAACAGAGGAGGAAGAGGAAGATGAAATTGTTAAAAGGAAGTGACTGTGTCTTTTGTCATCAGGGAAACTGCAGAACTAGAAAGCACCTGACTCCTCTGCTTTGAGTGCCAGTCGGGGCTATAAAGTAGGAAATAAACTTCTAATGTAAAATGTAAGTTTTTCTCAGGCTTTCCATGCATCTTTCTATCATTATGCTACCCACCTGCCTTCTTGTGCATTCTCATTCGTATTCTTTGTCTCCCTGGCCCTTTTTCCCTGACACAAGGGTGTACATCACCTGGACCTTCTCTACCTGTCCCCAGTGATCCTCACTGTTGTTGTTGTTGCTGTTTTCTTTGCCCCTGCTGCTATCAGGAATGTGACCTTTTTCAGGATAGCTGGGAAGGGGCTCCAATAATTCTCCGTTTCCCACTCAAACATTCTCCACTGCCATTAGCAACAAGGAGACCGATCTGCATCAGGGTTGCTGGAACATTCGTTCATGTGCAGAAATGCATGCGCACTTCTGTATATGCAGGCACACAGTAGCATCATATGCAGCCCTCAGTGCCAAGGAGGCTGTGCACCCATACTTTATACCAATGTTAATGAAGATGCAGCTTGAGAGGAGCCTAATATTTTGCTCACAATATCTGGGAATACTGTGTTTCCAGCCTGTGATGGAGAAGCTGCATGGAGGAAAGATAGATTGCCTTGACTTCCTAGCAGCATTTTATCAAACAGATCCTTGTGCTAGTACAGTTGCTATGAGGTTGGGCGAAGGCCCACCATGAGCATGAGGGATATTAGTATATCTTCATCAGATTAAATTACTTGTTTAAATTTCCTCCTATGCTGGCACGGATGCTCTTAAATCTACTACAGCAACACAATGGAGCAGGTAATAAATAAGGAATACATATTTTGTCTTAAAAGAACACAAAAACACCTAAACTAATTTCTAGGAATATTCATTCATATCTTGTCACAGATCAGATGGATTAAACTCATTTCCTCTACTGGAGTGGTAGATGAATGTTACCAAGGAGAAAGAAAAGGAGACAAGGAATGTTGTTGGACAAAATCAGGAAAAGAACCTTGATGGATCAGACCAAATTTATGATTCTAGCAATAGCTAGCCAGTTGCTTTTGTGAGGCCCACAACTGGGGCATGGGGACAATAGCCTTCTTTGACTGTTTGTCTCCTCTGGCAGCTGGTATTCAGTGGCATGCTGCCTCTGAGGGTGCTTCCAGATAAGGCTTTGGTCCCACCATTACTCTGCCCCATTCATGGAAATTTCTAGGGCAGAGGAAGAGGGGCCCACTGTTGTTGTCTTTCATTTGTAATGCTCTCATTCTTTCTTCTGTCTTTTTTCTTACTGGTGAAAGTAGGTTTAAAAAAAGATGGGCTAACTGTAAATTGCCTTCTAATGGTTAGCAATAGGACCCCACCATCTGGAAGCACAGTGACCCTGGATGTAGCATCATGACTAATAGATATTGGTAGATTTATCCTCCATTGATTTGTCTAATCCTCTGTTAGAATCTTCTAAAATGGTGACCGTAGTCACAATTTGTGGAATAAATTCTATAGTCTAACTCTGTGCTAATTGAAGTGCTTCCTATTATCCTGATTCAGTGAAAATACATTGTATCTTCAGAAATTACTCAAGAAGGTTTTAAGGAAGTGAGTCCTTGATAGTACCCTGAGTGTTGCTTCCTGACTGATCAACAATGAACCAGTCAAAAGTCCAGGTAATACTGTTCAGTCTCAAATTTAGGGGGGAAAACAGTATATGAGTTCCTTCTCCTTCTTTCCTTCCACATGAACATCAAAAATAAGACAGTCCTCATTTCTTCTTACCATTGCTTTTTCGATTGGAATTTTTCACTGTGTCCTGCAACTCTTTTGTGCTTCTTAGGATTTCCCGGGATTTAATTTTTGAAGAAAAGTATGTAGGTGAAGCATCCAAGGCATTCATATACCTAGAATTGAGATAGGAAAAGCATGTGAAAAATTGTGACAGTGGCATAAAGTTGTGCTAAATGTTTGGTATGAAGGCAGCACTGCCAGTATTGTGATACACAGCAACTCCCTCAAGAAAGGAGCTATGCCTCAAGAACAATTATCTATTGCATCCACACACGTGCGCGCGCGCACACATAAACACACAATATAAGCATGAGTTCGCTTTCTTCTAATCAGTAGATTCAAAGGGATGATTCCCACCACCACCCAAGCAGTCATTTCAGAAACAAAGAATGCAGATGTTGTGGCAAGGCAGTGAACTAAGAATATCAATCCCACTTCTAAAGTTGGAAGATACTTTTTTCTCCTCCCTATCCTGTAATTACGCCCCATGCTTTTGAATATTAGCATTTTTGTTTGGAGTAATGGATTTTCAAAAGTATGCTGCACAATGATCAGCTTTACATAACATAGTAAGAATGTTCTTATAGAAGCCGTCAAAGCAATGGCTGTAACATATGAGATTAAACATCAGCTGGTGCAGTAATCTAAATCCTTCTTCTCACACCTTTCATTTCAGATATTGGAATAATGAAGAAATTCTTGAATCTGGATCATATTGGATGTATTGAAGAAATGTTGTATTACAGTTAATACAGTTCCATTAATAGAGACACCCAGAGCACTGTCTGGTCCAGTTTTGTTGGATGAGCTCCAGCTATTTAGGACTGAGGCTGTGGACAAGGTGCTTGGCCAAGGTCAACCCACCACCTGTATGCTCTACTCTTGCCCATCGTGGCTGATTGGAAGAACTAAGAAAGGGATTTACACCTGGGTCCAGGAGGCTGTAAATGCCTCTGAGAGAGCGAGTGGTCCCAGCCCCTTTAAAAGAGGCTGTGATCAAATCACTCCTAAAATAGCCTAATCCGGACCCGATGAATGTGAATAATCACAGCCCTATTGCCAACATCCTCTTCCTGGGCAAGGTATTTGAATGGGTGGTGGCTGGACAACTCTGGAGACTCTTGGATGAAATGGACTATCAAGATCCATTTCAGTTGAGTTTCTGGAATGGAGATTGCCTTGATTGCCTTGTGTGATGACCTCTGCTGGGAGAGAGACAAGGGGAGTTAGACCTTCCTTGTTGATTCTCCTGCACCTATCAGCAGCTTTTGATAGCATCAACCATGGTATCCTTCCAGATAGGCTTGCCAGGTTGGGAGTTGGTGGCTTTGTGGTGGCTCTGCTCCTACCTGGCTGATCAATTCCAGAAGGTGGGGGGGGGGACTGTTGCTCTGCACCAGGGCAGTTATGCCATGGAGTAGCACAGGGCCCTATGCTATTTGACATCTACATGAAACTCCTGGGGATGGTTATCCAGAGGTAAGGGATGAAGTGTCAGCAATATGCAGATGACACTGAGCTGTACATCTTTTTTCATCAAACCCAGGTGAGGCAGTGGCTGTTCTCATTCAGTGCCTGAGCTCAGTAATGGACTGGATAAGGGCCAATAAGCTGAGACTCAGTCCAAATCAGACTGGTGCTGTCGATGGGTAGACTATCTGTCCAACTGGGAGATATTCGACCTGTCCAGGACAGGGTTGCAGTACCATTAAAGGACAAGGTTTCTAGTTTGGGGGTGCTCTTGGATCCAGAACTGTCACTCAAGTCACAAGTGGACTCAGTGGTACAGAGCACCTTTTATCAGGTTAGGTTGATTTACCAACTACAAGCCTATCTGGACAGGCAGAGCCTAGCCACAGTGATTTATGCTCTGGTAACCTCTCGTTTGGATTACTGTAACATGTCTACATGGGGTTATCTTTGAAAATGGTCCAGAAACTCCAACTGATTCAGAACAGAGCAGTGCAGCTATTAACAAGAACTGGCTTGGAAGACGTTACCATATCACTCCTCTTTCAGCAGCACTGCCAGTTGAAGTCTGGACCCAATTCAAAGTATTGATGTTAACATTTAAACCCCTAAATGGCTTGGGGTCAGGTTATCTGAAGGAATGCTTTGCCCTATATGTTCCTGCTCAGACCCTAAGATCATCAGTGGTGGTCCTTCTCAGGGAACCACCCACAAAAGAAGTAAGGGGGGTTATAACTAGAAGAAAGGCCTTCTCAGCAGTTGCACCCCATCTTTGGAACATATTTCCCAAGGAGGTATGCCTGGTACCATACTTGTTTTCTTTTCAGCACCAGGTGAAACCCTTTTTATTTTAAGATCTGTTTTTATTCTCTTTTTATTATATCTGATGCTGTGACCTGCATTAATTTTACCTTACCTGCTGTAGGTGGTCAAACTTTGTTATTTGGTTTTGTTCTGTTTATTTAAATATGATCATTTTCTTGTTGTTATATATACCCAGAGAACCCTATGGACTATGAGGTGATATAAAAATGTAACAAAGCAAGAAAGCAAGCAAGCTAACTAGCAATGATTTGCTATAGCTCTGACCCTGACTCTAGACATGGACACATGCTGAAGCAGGGACATTTAGGCTCATGTTCCAGTTCATAGCCTTTTCCCTCTTGCCTCTAAGTTTAATTCTGACCTTCACCTGTTCAGGACACTGACTCTTTCTTCCATGTCTTCTTTGCTGGCCAGACCAGCACCACTGCCACCGGGCTTCTTCGTTTGTCTCAGAGCAGTGGTACTGTGTCTTCAGCAGCTGTGTGACATGCAGAGGTGTAGCAGGCGAGTCTTCTAAATGTGATGGTTAAAATTTTCTTCTGCCAAATGTCTGCATGTCAAGCAGCTATCAAGGGCATAGAAGCTCTGCTAGAAGACAACCTAGCAACCCTGTTTGCCCACTATTCTCTCTTTTTACCTGGCCCTGGTTCTTTGCTGCTAAGCATTGCAACGCACATGACGCATAAGTGAGGCAACCTAAGAAACAAACACTCTATTTAAAAGTACAGGTAACAAGGAGAGTGAAACTATCACCTATGCCCAAAGCTAAGCTGAACCTCCATTGTTGCCCTTGTTTCCTTTTATAGGTGGACTTCCTTCAACTGGGTATGAGCCCAGTTCTCTAAAGGTAGAAGGCCTACAAAATCAGTACAGTACTGTATTTGAATAGCAGGAGAAACTCACCATTAAAAAATAAAACAATCTATTGAATTAAAATATTTATGAAGCAGCTTCATCGTGGGAGAAGGTATTGCTTGTCACCAAGGATAGCATAGAAAATATCCTATGTGTAATATGGATCTGCATAACTATATTATACACAGAAACTATAACAGCATCAACTATTTCATCTAGAAGAAGAATAAGTAGAAACATCCAGAACACAAAACAAGAGACTAAACATGCCTTGTCTTTGCTGGAACATTGAGAAAACAGAGCGCAAGAGCGATTGGCTACCGCAGGCTATGAGAAATCTGGTTGCTATTTTCTGCTCTTCTCTGGGAGCTGTTTGCAATTTGTGTGATTCATTAATGCCTCAATGAATAGGACAGGTCTAGGGCATGATCCTATGCATGTTTTGACAGAAAAAAGTCATACAACCCCTAACATTCCCCAGTCAGCTATGTTGACTGGACAATCCTGAGAGTACAATTTTTTTCTAAACAGGCAAAAGATTGTGCCCTTAGTGGATTTGCCTCCAGCTTATACATTACTGATAAATAATTACTGATATTGTATGTAATTATTGATTTAGCCTTCTTTATAATTCATGTTAAATATTAAAATGTATTAGTGAAATTAACTGTTTGAGTTATTATTGTAATGTTGCACTATTGTGATTGATGTGATGGGTCCTTGTTTTTGTATTGCTCTTGATTTATTAACCACTTTAAGTGCTTTTTGTAGAAAGGCACCATATAAATTAGATGATGAGGAAAAACATATTTCCCAAATAGGAAATGGAAAGACATCCAATGCTCAGGAGAAAACATATTCCCACCAAGTAAAAGCACAATCTTCTTGAAGAAACAAACACCAGTACCAGCATTGCCAACTGCAACAAGACTGCAAATTTAATACAGAAGACTAAACTGTGCAGATATGCTTTTCAATTCCTAAAGAACATCTTGATGTTTTGGCAGAATCATCTTAAAATCAGCTTAAAGAGTTCGAGTTGCTAAGGTCTTTAGAGATAAAAATAACAGGTTTTCCTGTTAGATTTCCTACCAGTAGCAGTCTTCTGTGTTTTCATTCTTCTTATAAATGTAAGCAGAATTCCAAACAACTGTTTTGAATGGCAATTTTGAATTTTCCCAGAATTCAATCAAAAAATAGGACACCTTTCTGGCTGGAGTCATCAACCTGGTTAGGCTTTCTTTGAAGTCACAAGACGTTCCAAAAGTCCCAGCAGAGATCACAGGAATGTCTAATATTGTCTCAACACTAAGAAAAACACAAAACAAATTATTCCAGTATGACTGCTACAGCTGCAAATATTTCTTCCAAGTAAGAAATGCTATCTTGTGAATCATATTTGCAGTATTCAAGCTTTGGTTTGCCTTAATTACAAAATAAATGTGAAGCCAAAAAATTGTGATGAGCAGTACAAGTTCTTCCAGAAGAAGCAATAATAAGCTGTGCAAGAGGGAGCTGTTGTAAAATATTGTACTGTGAATTGCTTCCATTGACTGTTTCAGTCAGTCCATCATGCCCACCACAATAATGAGTTCCATTTTCCTGCATCTCATATTCTGTCACCATTCTACCACTGAGCACACTCAGTCCTCACTGGGCTGTGTTGATTGATTTTTCCCTAAAGGGTTTGAATACTTCTACAAAACTCAGGGTTCCCCCAGATCTGCTGATACCTTCCCCTTGTGGGGGAGGGAGGGGAAGCAGTTTGAGGTGAGAGGGGTAAATTTCCCCCCACTTGGTCCTCTGCAGCCTGAATGACCACCCCAATGTTGCCCCCCTCCATCCTGAAAGAGGGTCAGAGTTCCATGACTCTCTCAGCATAGAGCAAGGGACTCCGCCAGTCCAGAGAGGAGCAAGTGCTCCTTCCAGTGGCTGCTGACTCCCTACTTCAAGCAATGAACATGGTCCCCATATGAACAGCCTTGGCTAGCTGCTCCTTCCAGTGCCATCTAGGAGACCAGCTTTGCACGACATTCATCCTCCCCATGGAAATAGTGCATGCCAAGAGAGAGGATCTGGCTATGACTTGGCATGGTACACCTCTTCCCCATGGGGGCAGTGCAGTCCAAGTGAACAGACTCAGCCAGCGCTAGGAGGAGGGGCTGCTCCTCATAGCACCAGACGAGGCCTGCTGCATATCATCTCCATGAAGGAAAGGGACTCAGCTGGACCTGGGAAGAGTGAGGAAGTGTCCATGGAGTAGGCTGAAAATCCAGAAGTTCCTCATCACTGTGCTTGGGTATGGGTCGTGCCATTTTTGCTACATACGCAACATTATTCCCGTCTGAATGCTGGAAATAGAGGAAATGATCGGACAAATAGTTCTAAATGGTTTAAGCCATGGGTCCTCAAACTATGGCCCACGGGCCGGATCCAGCCCGCCATGCCCATTTATCCGGCCCGCCATGCCCATTTGGACCCACCACATGCGTGCCCACGCACGCTGCCGCTCACCTCGCCCCATGCATGGGAGGCAGTGGTTTGCTCGCTCGGAGAAAACGATCTCCAAGTGAGCAAGCCACTGGCCCCTGCGCCCGCCTCGCAGTGCGCGCCCGCACGCCGTGCCTTGCCTCCGCTCATCACGCGCCCGCCTGCACCTCGCCGCACGCCTGCCCCCACCTCAGCGCACGCGCCCACACACGCTGTCCCGCCCCCTGGTCGGCCTGCACATACTGCCAGCGCCACCTTTCCAGCCCATGCCCAGCACTGGCACCTTTCAACTGGCCCCCCTGGTGAAAAAGTTGGAGGACCCCTGGTTTAAGCCTGCACACATGAGAATAAACATGGCGCCAGCATTCCACCAAAGGCAGTCTACTACAGAGCTTGCCCTCCCATAAGGCAGGGGGAGGTTTCCAAGCCAGGTGATGGACCAGCAAACGGCACAACTGCAGCTACCCAGGGGTATTCTGGAGAGTCACACTAGCCACTGCCCTGCTGCAGCAAAGGAGGGCAGACCTGGTGGAGCTGTCCAGAGTAGGTCCCTGCTTGACCATGATGGGTGGGCGGGGGGGCAGGAAGAGCAGCTGGTGGGAGTCTCTGCAGCAGGCACCCATCCTATGTTTCCCAGAGCTGTATGGGTCTCCAGCAAGCTGATGCCACTGCAGCAGTCAAGGTAAGGGGAGGGGACATTGTCACACAAGGGGAATCAGGCGGGGGACAGCACATGGGGGATGGGTGGGGTCCTGATGCCACAGCAGCTGGATGTGTGCTCTCATGCCTGAGGAGGTGGCAGAACTTGTACCCAGCCTGGTCTCCATCAGTACCCATCACTTTGAACCACATGTCATCCTGGGAAGAATATGTGTTAATTAGATTGTTGAAAGAGCCCAGTCCTGCTGTGTAAATGTGCTGATACCAGAGACTTTGAGGGACATCCTCACAAACCTTTCTACACAAGGCATTTATTGTCTGCTTGCGATCCCTCACCCAGGGTAGTTTGTAAGTGTTTTACAGGATGTCATCATCCTGTCAGGGCTTCTCCCATTCTTTGCAAACATTTCAGCTTGGATGCAGAAAATCTAGAATCTGCTTGAATAGCAGGATGAACTCCTAGCAATTCTGCTATACCACAGCATCACCTGGTGGTTGGGCAATGGAACAGATAGAAAGGCAGAAAAGAAAATCTATGCTGGGGAGGGGGAGACTTGTATAAAGGAATTTATCTTATTCTCACACATAATGCTGAAGGAGAAACCTCATTAAAGTGGGGCATTAATAGCCCCAAGTAGAAAAACCCTACCTTTCTTTACTTATGTCTCAATAACTCTGCAAGGAACTGACCAGCAAATAGTGAGGATATCAGAAATGACCTGCATTACTACAAGATGCTTAAACTCACAAAAAGGCCCAAGATAAGCCACTCATACATGTGGAAGGACAAGCTTTTAGCTTTACAGGGTTTCCTGCTTACTATTTTATAGGAATTTTGAAAAGTATGACTATGGAAATATAGTATGAGAAGTGGCCTAGAAGTATGATATTCTACACATGAGTTGGCAAGGCTCTTAAATAGGCATCAAGTTTATTCAACCTTTTGTACCATATTTAAATATAATATTTTCAGCTAATACTCACGAGACCATCTGGTATGTGGCAAAGGTGCACATAGGGCCTAGGACAGCACAGCCAAGCTTACTCTCCGTCTGTAACAGACAAGTCCAAGATCAGCAAAGGAGGACTCTGGAGTACAAAAAGATGTTATCATCCAGATGCAAAATTAGGATGATGGAACAAGTGGCTTGAAAATACTAGGCATTTGTAGCTGGGAAAAGATGGCTATCGAGTAAGACAGCAGAGCCTACCCATAATGATTATAAAGTTAAATAAAGCGGCATGTTCTGCAAAAGCATGAGTCAAAGCCTGTGTAGGTGTGTCATTGTCGGTGGCAGTATCTGCAGAGCTACGATCATGCATACTGCTTTGTCTTTGTTTCTATGAAGCTGAAAAGACTGATTCCTGCAGAAGTGCCTTAATACTCACATAGAGTTGCCTGATGAGATCCACACCTTCACAAGTGCTGGTGCGGCAGCCTTGTGAGAAATAGAAAGATGTGTTGAAGCCATCGTATGTGGCATTGACATGAGCACTCACATTGTGGTCTGTAACAAAAGCAGAGGAACAGAAAGTCTTGAATTAGAATATATGTTTAAATAAAAATAAGTACTGGGTAATTTTTTAAGAATGCTAGTTAACTTGCTGTGACTTTAACATATTATATGACGTTTTATTGCTTTTGAATTTAAGCCATTTTGTAAGGATCTGAAAGAGCAAGGGATAAATGAAAACATATACTAATTAATCATATGGGATAGGTAATTACCTGAATATGCATTGATCATATAATTGGAATATTGTGTGCGTGCGCGCAGACACACACATAAATATTGTATCTTTAGAAGAAATGTTAACGGAACATGGAATCTAAAGCCTGGAATCATCTTTACCAAGTATCCTCTGTAGAAGGTGAGTATACCACTTCATCTTCCTGTCTAAATCTTTCTGTCATGTACTCTGTTTTTTTGTTAAGTAGAGAGCTTCTATTGCAGATTGTGAAATGTGTTTTCAATAACAAAACAATAACAGTATGTTTTAAATACAATTCAAAACAAAACACTCATGGAATTATGAAATGTTCTCTGGGCAGGGATTAGTTTTATTCAGGTCTGTCATGTGTTTAAGGGACAGAGAAGCACTTCAATGGTATATGAAGTACAGCCTCTAAAGAAGTAACCTGGCCAATTTTTAATGGTCAGTAGAACCTCATTAATGCTGCCATGGGCACAGTGCTACCTTATGCAAACACATTCCACCCAGCAATTGTAAGAGCACTGTGTGCTCTCTGAGTGGGTCAGCGGGACGGCAAGAACTGTACTTCCAGTAGAAGTGTGAGTCTGAGGAAAGAGGTGAGGAGCTGCATATTTGTTTTGCTGCACACTGATGGTCTGGAAAGGATCTTGGAATCATGATTAATAAGAGGTGTCACACCATAAAACATCTTGCATTATTATTATACCTTCCAGATTAGATAAGTCCCCTCTTGCTCTGGGGTAAAGAGATAGGAAAGAGATCTACTAATAACTTTATTTGGATGAGATGTCTTTTGTACCAACCAAAGAGGTTCAGAAATTTAGTGCAATCAGACACTAGAGCCTATCTGTATAAATTAAAAAAAAGAACCCTTCTGCCAGCAGGCTTAAAAAACAAGAATGATTTATCACACGGTGAAAAGATGTAATACATAAGCAACAAGGTCACGGACAAAAGAAGACAGCTTGCAGAAGCATTCAACTGGGCAGCTTCAGGGCCTCAATTTTGACCCTCAAGGGATACTGCAAAGCTATGGTGATGCCCTTACCTTGCAAGATGTATTTCACCAGTGTCAGACCCAGCTGCACAGCTTGTTCAATGTTCTCTGCAGTCACTGGATACTCAGAGTTATTCAGTACCATTACATTGATCCCGTAGTCATTCTTTTCACACTTGGCAGCACCAGCATGCCACAGTAGCTGGGTCAGGAGAAACAGTGCCCCCAAGGTATGTTCCAGCATTTTTTGCCTGATGATGCTTCGTGGTCCAAGTCAGGGTTGCTTCTTGCATATGCTACATAGTTGATAGCTGAGGCTGAAGCGAGGATATGTCCACCACTCAGTCAAACTTTGCTTCTCATCGATCGGTCCTTCTGTTCCCTTTCTTAACTCCCTTTCTGCTCCCACGCCCGTCTGCCTCAGCTGGTACATCTGCTTGTGAACAATTAACAGCAGCCGAACTTGTGAAATGGGAAGGGGCCAAAGGTTGTTTTTCATGTTTGCTGTTCAGAATGTTTGAGCTATAAAAGTGAGGCATTAGCCGCACCTTCTCTAGATAAGGATACAACATGATGGGTATGGAAAAGAAAAGAGGAACTGGTGAAAATCAGTTAAAATGGAAATAAAATAAAAGGCTCATTAATGGAACACACACAGAAATAGCTGCTTGTTCATTTTTGCCTTTTCAAGGTACTCATGATGAATCTAAAATGGGGGACTAAAAGGAAATCTCCAAAGAAAGAGAGTATGATCTACTTTCTATTTTCATTTATTTATGTTTGCCTTTCACAGTTACCAATAGATGCTCTGCTATAGCATTCCCTGTCTCCCCCCTCCACACCCTACCTCTTTTGTCATCAGATAGCATTTCAAAAGAACCTGTCAATAAGAAAAGTTCATATTCAATCTTCTTGTCAATGTGCCAAATCAAGTAGCTCAAGAGATTACCTAAAACTCAAACCAAAACAAAAACCAGTTTCTCAGCTTCACTTTGCTGCACAGATAGAAAGGCTGAGTGCCAGGGACGTTGCTAGGTCTGTGCCCCAGACCTGCATCTATTTCCCAGGGCACCAAACTATTCTCCAGAATCCTAAGTGTCTGTTGATGCCAATGGAACATTTCTTTCTTAGATTAACTGCCATATAAGGGGTGGTTTTTCAAGTGAGATTCCTGTTGGGAGGGAAAGGTAACTTTCCTCTCCCCACATTCTGAAACATCCCCACAAAAACTCCCCACCCCCTGCCATGGCAATTACTTGCCATGGCAGCTTTCCTTCTGAAATTAATTCCTTAATGTGATTATAAATGCATAATGTGGACATTATAAATGTGCAATTTTCTCCTAGAGAGAAAGAGAAACAAAGTGGAGGGGGGAAAAAAGGATGAATGGATAATGAGCCATTGCAAGTTAACTATAATTGAAGAGCAGTTATTGATTTGGGAACATCTGACAGGAGGGGGCAATAAGTTGAGAATTTACTTTATTTAGGATGATTTGAATACAAAATTGATAGTTTAGATTTCTATGAAATTTAAATAAATCATAGTAATTATTTTGAAATGTGCAGATATAGATATAAATTAGCATATGCAAGTTTTATGCAGATTTGTATTCCAAAGTCCTGGGCCTTGGATTCTTTAAGTGCTGGCAATGCCCCTGCTGAATGCTGTGGTAAATACCAGCAGTATCTTTGGCAGGAGTGTGTTGTTCCATGCCCTCAGATGCTATTAATCAACCTTCAAATGCAGATGGCTTTCTCCAGCCAGTACCTCATTCCCAAGACAACAGACTGCTAAGAAGGTAATTCACACACACTTCTTGAGTCCCCAGAACACCGATGAGGAACACTGCACAGTTCTCTTCACATTGGCAGAAGCTACTTATACTTACTGTAGGGAATTGTTGCTTTGACTTCCACTGCTTGCAAACCTGTTGAGCTCCATTATGGACTGTGATTCTAATGCTTTCATCTGCTTCTATAGGAAAGGGAGAACTGGGAGAGATGGGCTCCTACAGACATCCATTCCTCAGTTCCACTTCATGTTTTAAGACCTAACATGAGGGAGAGACCCAGTGAGTCCCTGTGTTTGATGGAGGTGGACTATCAGTCAGATTAAGCATCTGACACCTCAGCAACTCCATTGATCCCTTCTCTAGATGAGATTGTTGGGAACAGGGATCCTATTTCCTCTTCAAAGGCCATGGATCATTTTGCTGATCCAGTTCTCTATATGGTTAACTCTCAGCCCTGAGACTCAAAAGCTGGTACTGAGACTAGAAAATCCTGACTTAGATGGAGTCTGGTTATCATGTATTTTCACATCATGATCAAGAAATCTTACCAGCATTTCATCTACTTTGCAGTCAGATCACCAGCTTGCCAGTTCTGAGTGCTTCCATTTGGTCTGGTGTGACTGCCCTGAAAATGTTTATGAAATGTGTAGCGATTGAATGTTTATCCACACCCATTGCATACAACTCTCAATGATTGGCTGCTGGTGGCATAGTTGAGAGTGAGCAACTCTATGCTACTGTTTTCACTATAGACCGATTGCAAACAATACATCAGTCTGGAGGAGTCATGTTTGATCCCTACATAAACTATTCAATTTATCAGGACCACACTGGACTCCATATCAGGTCAGGTTTACTTTGCTAACTTTAGTACATGTGGACTCCAGGACTCACACAGCTTTGACTGTCCAGCATCTTCTGGATCTGATGGTCACAACAGCAGCAGTGATTTCATTCTTACACCTCAGAATGAGAATCCTTCAGATTTTGTTTCTCAGGACAATGTATCTTAATGCCAACCTCTGTTAAACCTGTTTGCTTACCCTGAAGACAATTCTCGCATCTCCTCTGTGGTGGCCAAACTGAAACAATAATAATATGCCTCTCTTTGAGGATGGAGTGCATATCGGAATATGTTAACAATCAAAGACTTCAGTCTCAAACCAAGAAATATTACCACATCAATGTACTCAAGTTATTAGCAGTTTGGAAAGCCTTGTGTTCTTTCGAATCATTCAACACAACATCCAAACTGTCACACACAGTGTGATGCTAGTCTGGTATATCAACAAGTGGGGAGACACACAGTCTTTAAGACTCCTGTGCTTAACTCTACACACTTGAGCTTGGGCTTTTCCACAAAGCACAACATTTTTGGCCATCCATAAAGCTGCTACTGACAACCACTTGGTGGACTGCCTTTGTTGTTTTTATCAGTTATCTCACAAATGGGAGCTGGACACAACAGCCAGGACATCCAGCTTCAAACAATAGAGTATGCCTCTTCTAGACATCTTTGCTATCCAGGAAAATGCGGTCTGTCATCTGTTCTGCCCCATTCATTAGGGGATGTGTTCCTTTTTTGATGAATAAACAGGCTGTTCTACATTCTCCCAGAAATTTTTGGTCAGGGTCCTCACATAAATACAGGAGGATAACACAAACTGCATCCTCATTGCTCCTTGGCAGCCACAACAGTTTTGGTTTACCACTCTACCCCTCTCCCTCCACATTTTTCAAGGCAACAGTTTCTTCATCACCCTTCCATCTTGAATTTGTTAACATGGGATTGAGGCAAAATTCAACATCCATACCTGAAAACATTCCACCTAATAGCATGGAGACTCCACTAAGATTGAGTCCAAATACATTTCAACCTTTGATCCAGGCAGTATTGATGCTGTTTGAAAACTTTCCTCCAGGGCTTCCTAAGCAAGGAAATGGAAAGGCTTCTCTTAATCTATGCTTTTGAAAGGTCTTGACTCTTCCACTGCTCTATTCACCATCTCCTCTTTTCCCTACTATCATTGCTTCAAAGGGCTCTAGGACTATTTTTCTGTTATAGTTGGTCTCCTACCCCCAGTTGAAGGTTTTCCTTTCAATTTCTTTTTCTTGTACCACATGCTGAAACAGTTTCTTCAAGGTGTTTACAACATTGCTGCTCCAGTTGAATGGGCAAGAATTCTCTTGGTTTGGAGGCCACAGTAGGCAGTCTCAGTGAAGTAAGGGAATGGTTGGGAACCCAGTAGGGGTAAGGGCATTATGATGGTCCCACCAAAAAGTCCTCACCAATAGAAGCTTTTGAAATTGAGGTTCCACACAGGTGCAAAGCCCATATGTGTGAATGGACAGATGATTACTCAAAGAAGTACAGTTACAGATAAACAACTTTTTAGTATAATGCCAAGCATAAAGAGTATTTCACCAAGACTGCAATGTGCAGAGAAAGGGATATTAAAGCATTGTTTCCCTAGTTGCAATCCCAGATAAAATTACACACATATCTTAGCAAGAAAAGCAGTTTAAGAAAAAAAAATCTGTCAGTGAAGTTTTGGGAGCTCCCAATAGGAGCTTTTTTTTTTAGGCTACAGGTATGTAGTCTTTGGATTTGCAACTCAGGCTGTACGTATAGTTGATCATAAATGGATGTTTCTTTGAGCTATCTACCAGAATTCCAAAATCTCTTTTCTGGTTAGTCATAGCCAGTTCAGAACTCATTAGCATAGATTTGAAATTAGAATATTAATCTCCCTACCCATGTGTATTACTTTATATTCACTTAAACCAAGGGCAGCCCAAAATAAGTTGCTGCTTACTGCAAAAGTCTTCCCTCCTCTGCCCTCTACCCTCAAGTCAAGGTGCATATCACACAAGGCAGGCCAAGTGATTTTGGCACCTGAGACAGAAAATCCCACACACACCTTTCATTGGAAGTAAATATACAGTAAGGTTATGATCTATGTAGCCTTAGAAAGCAAAAAAAGTCCGGAAACTCCCAGCAGCATGGCTGTTGGGGAAATGCTGGGTGTTGCAGGACTTTTTTCTCCCTAAACATGCACAGAATTGCACTTTAAATAATTTACAAATCATCCGCCCTTGTAACAAAACTGAAAGTCAGCTATTTGGATTGCCAGCCTCTAAACTGATCATCACATGATCTTGGGGCAGGTTCAATTCAAAATGCAAAGCCTTATTTAGTCATCTATTAGAATTAGATTTTACCAAATGTAGTAAAATCTGTACTCATGGAAGTACAGATTGCAAAAACCCTCCTGATTTGCTGTACACATGACAGCCATTTCCTTTCTTTTTTTTCTTTCCAAGGAGAAGCAGATCATAATCTAAACACTCATGTAGACAATACGATTGATTGGACCATTAAATTGTCTTTTAAAATAGATAATTGAACTATGGGTTCACTCACGGTTACCTTAAACAAACTATATAACTTTTATAACCTTTCAGAGATTATTTTAGAGCAAACAAACAGGAAATATAACACCATTTGCACAAAAAACCAAGCTTTCAAAGTATAGGAAGCCAAACTAATTTTCCAGGTTCTAGAGCTGGATTCAATCTCATAAAAGCCACTTGCAGAAAAATTGTCTATAGAGAACCACTTCACATTAGTCTTTTCCTATTTTTCATCTATCTTTTTTCTTACAAGTTTTAGGCAATTCAATATGTTTCCTAGCATGTAAGACAATGCATTATTAGGACAATGCAAGTTTGATTAGGATTTAATTGCAGTTTTAAAGTATCAATGGTGTCACAAAGGGGTGACTCACAAAACTGAAAATGAGAAGGGAACTTTTATAAGTATTATGAGTTTTCTGCTAATGCAATTGATGGTCAAAGATGCTTCCAGACAAGGCTTTTATCCCACAAGTCCCCTAACTCATTCACAGGGTATTATGGAAGGTTCAGATGACATTGTCTTTAACTTGGAACCTGTGTTCTCCAGTATTTTCATCATTCCTTATGCTTAGCGTAGAAAATCAATGTGGGGGCAGGAACAAGTGGCTTGGAGGAATCTAACTCCTACTTAAGTCCTAGTCTTCTCCTTGTTGCAGCAGTGTACAAGCAATTCTGTCTTACTTTCAGCTCCATTTAGAGCTTTCTGAGGTGCTGATCTCTTTCTACCTTGCTTCCCTCTGAAATCCAACTGCCCAGACTCCTGCTAAGATCCAACAGCAACACCCAGCAATATGAAGCCTCTGCCACAACTGCAGCAGTACAGGGCACGGACAGGACACATAGCCTTCGTATATTATTTTATTACACATTTCCAATAAAACTTAAAGAAGAAAAACTACATAGATTTAAATATATCAATTTCAGCACATGCATACAAAACATGTACAGCTGAGTGTATAAACATAAACAAAGGCAGACCAAATACCCACATATGTACCATTTGCAAGTAATGTCTACATTGAAATGTTGAAAGTGATTTTACATCTTCAGTCCATCACAGAGCAAAGCGCATCCCATGCTAGTAGGAGCAGTAAGAATCTTCTTTCCCTGACTTGTCAGAGAATCTTCCCAACCAAAGTGGGCATTTTTAAAAATAAAAATTTATACACGCAGCATGAACATTCATTAATCACTCTATGTACACCATTTGGGAGATGATACAGGCAAATATGCAGTGGTAATAGGAACTGTTAAAAATGCCAACATTCTTTTTTCTCTTTTTAATTTAAGCTAGGCATTCATGATGGAACTTCCTTGCTTTTCAGCATGACAAACTATATTGCTGTGAGCACAAAATTACCATATGCACTTTTTCTTTTTTTCCAAATTTCACTGATGAATTCCCATTTTCTTCATTTGATGTAAGAACTACTACAGTAGCTCCCAATCCTGATTGCAAGTCCGGAAGGTCCTTGTTCAAGTGTTGCCTCTGCTGTAAAATCACTAGCTAATCCAGTCATTATCTTTCAGTTTCGCACTCCTGTTTACAATATAGTGATAAAGATACTTAGGTGGAAATCCTATGGTGATGCACATAAGGCCTTGAACTCAGAGACTTACAGTCATCTTATGCAGAGAGGAAAGAGCAGCAGACCTGCTCATTATTTTTCTACCCTCCCATCTGCAGTTTTTACTAGAAGGGGTTTTTTTTGCCCATCTATTTGGCCTGTGTCAGTGGAGGAAGGAAGGAGACTGAAATAGCCTTAGGATGACTCCTGTCCTGGCCTCTCCAGTTTCTTTCCCTCCCACTGAAACTTCCCTTTCTCCCAGGCAAAGCTCCTGCCCTCTGAGTTCAGCTTGCATAATTATTTCCATACAAGCTCTGAGGGGGAGCACGATCAGAGCTCTGATTCCCCACTCAGGGGTCAAAATGCAATCTCCAGCCTTGGACTGGGCAATCTGAAATATACTGCCCCTCAAATGCTGTCTAGGGACCATAAAATTGCTCCCTTGAATTGTCTTTAAATCACCTTACATGCAAAGCATTTAGCTCAGGTATACCAGGTATCTTGACAGACTCCAATCTTGAGATAGCAAGCTTTCATTTGCTATCACAGGCATTTTCACAACATAAACTAATAAGCTCTTTTCCTATCTCTGTTTATATAAAAAGCTGATCCATTTACAGCATTTCTAAAGTGTTTTCTGGTTAAGAAAAAGCCTTAAAATGCTATAGAAAAAAAATAGTTACATGAAAAACAATGAGCAAACAATTCCAAAACTAGGAACAATAAAAAGTGCAATGAAGCAGCAGTTAAGAGACTCAAACAACATTACAAACATAGAGACGTTAAATTTTTAATTGTTTCCTGCTTCAAGGATTGTCTCTTTTATAGAGGCAAGTAAGCATTAGCAGTAATCTTGGAGAAATAATGGCATCATTGGAATGACAGATACTGTGAAAGTATCTCTCAAATGTAGTACAAACAGCAATCAGTGCCGCAAACATTTTTGGACAGCACTTTGTGATAGAGTCCCTAGTGACCTGGGCCCTAATTAATCAGTCCTTCAGCTCCTTAAAATGGATGTAACCATATTTGTGATTAATTACACATGAGATCACTGACCCCTGGTGCCATGCACTACCTTTGTAAGGCCTCAAGATCAACAGGCCATGCAAATGAATTGCAAATGAGCATTTTATTGGCTAGCACTGTGTTTCTGAGCCTGATTTAACATACTATATCTGACTTTTAAAACCTTAAATAGTTTGGAACCAAGTCATGTACATTTGAAGATCAGCAAGAAGCCTTTTTCATTTGCCCATCTGTGAAGGGGAAATTCATGAAAGGGCTTTTTTACACAATGACCACACACCTCTGCAATAAGATGCTATCATGGATTCATCAGGCCCTGTCATTGCAGGCTTTTAAGAAGAACATGAAGACTTACTTCTGTACTCCCCTCTTCACCTTATTATGTTTTATCAGACTGGGTGATAATTGTAATCATGTTGCATGAACATGCATATGATAGGCATGTCATGAGTGAAGCCAGCTGGAGCAGGGGTCAGACTAGATGACCCGGGAGATCCCTTCTCACATGCTCCATTTCTATGTATTTTAATTTTATTTGTTGTTTCATGGAACTTTTGCTGCTTTATTACTGCATTAGTTTTTATTATTAATGATATGTATTTCATTCTTGTATGCAGCTCAAAAGGCCTCCTGCCCTAGATAGATATATTTTAAATAAATATTTTTACAGTAAAAGTCTGTATGAGTGGTTCAGATTGCATAATCTCTTCCAGATCCAGACAGTCCTTGGAATAGATGGCTCAGTAACAGCTCTAAGGTAAGTTGTACTTATTTGATTTGCTTGATTCTAACTTTTCCCATGGATTCCTCCAGGGATTTAAAATAATATATAAAATTTTAGAATAAGTCTTCTGCATGCTGCTCACATAGAGCAGGCCCAGCCCCTCTAAGCAGCTTACTAGCCACTTCTCTTAGTGGGAGGAGATGCAGTGACCTTCCATGTGGTTTGTGTATTATTAATATAAGTGACTTCATTATACTTCCATTAACCATAGAATCTTAAAATCCCATAGAAAAGAATGGATCCTACTTCTGAATGAGTTTTATAGCATAAACTTCCATGGGCTAATGCTCATTTCATTTTTCTAAACTACATAAATCTACAGTGATACGAGCCTCAATCCACAATAAGTGTGTGTCAGGAAGAGGAGAGGAGAAAATATATGTTAACCGTATTGCACTTCCTCATTACAATCACCTACTCTGTCCCCTCCAAGGAAGGTGCTGAATTTTCTAAACCAGTTTGGAACTTGTTTTAGATTTAATAAGTTTCACGCCGAATGGATCCTGCCGGAAAAATAGAAAAAACGATTAGATTTCAGGGCATCTTTATTCTATTTTTTCTGGCACTCGTCCTGTCAAATATTTAATGTTCTAAGAATCAAGAAATGAAACTGGAACGATTCCCAGCCTTGCGGCGGCGGCGGCGCTTAAGCGCTTGCTGAACAAGCAAAGCCCCTCCCGGTACCGAAGTTTGTCACGCTCTTAGAGAGCTGCGCAGTCCTGCCGCTGAAACGCAAACGCGATGGAGATCCCTGCTTTTGCAGAGCGAGGCCTCTCCTTCCTTCGCCCTTCCAAAACGAGTCTGAGTCTCCGCCCGCTCGCTCTCCCGCCGTCTCCTCCTACGTCGCCAACGCGCTCTCACTTGCGGAGGCCCTTCCCAAGGATCTGCTGTGGATCAGCAGCGGAACTGTGAGTATAGATGGCAGTTGCCACCCGGCCGTTATTTGAAGGCTCCCTGTCCAGATTCCCTAGCTACCACCCGCCCGCGTAGTTGCCAGGGTAACGGAGTCCTTGGCAAAGCAAAAAGGCAGTGGGAGGCCGTAGTCCTTGCGGATCAGGCCTGCGGGCAAGATGGTGAGGGGCGGAAGAAGGGTCGGGGAGGGGTAGTTTAAGGTGGGTTCTCCGAAGAAGGGAGGCCGGTGGAATCCTACCCGCTTCATCTGTTTCTGCATTCTCTTCTCACCCATTGCAGATGCTCTCGCGGCTCAAGCCCGCTGTTGGGGGCGGGCCTCCAACTGCGGACAAACGTAAAAAGAAAGGCAAACGGATCCCGCAACTAGAGGAGCTGCTGAACCACCGAGATTTCACTGGGGCTATCGCCCTTCTGGAGGTACTAAGGATGCAACTTGAACAGTGGAATGGGATGAGGCCCGTGCGAGCAGCTGTTGGAGACAGGCTCCCTGGGCTGTTCATGACGATGGGCTACCGGTTTAGGACAGATACTATGGGGAATGTATAGGAAATAAAAGAATGATTACGCGTGCACTTCTTCTTGGTCTATGTTCCTCTAAACTGAGAGGCAGGGAAATCAGAGCTTTTGTAGCTCTGGGGTTATTTATACCTTGCTTTGTGGAGTATAGAGGGCAGATTGAGATCATAGATTTGTGCAGATGCAAGTTGGTGCTGCTCCCAAAGATAGCTTATCAATTCAGTTTATTGTACTGATGATTGTTGGTGAGTGAAAAGCCTGCTGAGTCACAACATGACATTTACCAGTTGATTTATGATAAGAAATCTACACACAAGAGCAGCAATTCGATGGTCTAGAAAAGAACTGCTGTGGCTGAGGTCATCTTAGAAGGGGTGATGAGGAATTCTGGGGACCTGGAAGGGTAGGAGACTGAGTCTCCCAGGATACAGCCTGTCTGAAGTAGCATAGGTGGATGACCAATATAGTAGATTTTGTAGAATTGTAGAAGGGAGGAGATGTAGAAGGTTACTTCCATGCTGCTTCTGTCCCGCATAGGATGCCTGTAATACTCCCAAGTTGAGAGGTTTGTGACCATCTCCATTGGATCGTACCCTAAGCCAATTTAAGTGGATATCTAACTTTGTTACTTGTGACCAACTCCCTCTTTATGTGACTGAAGCCTTATGGGAGACTGAAGTCATAAAGCTTCAGTCTGCAAGTCTGTCATAAAAGAATGTTGAAAATATGTGTATGCCGATATTAGGGCACCATTTTAATCTGTTTTTCCTCCTACAAGTTTAAGCGTCATGCTGGAGAACAAGAAGAAGATGCAGACCTCTGGATTGGATATTGTGCTTTCCATCTGGGTGATTACAAGAGAGCACTGGAGGTGAGGTGAGGTGAGGTGTGGTGAGGAAATCTTGCTTCATCTCGGAAGCAAAGGGATGTTGCCCTACAATAAGAGCAGTGGGAGGGAGAGGGTGAGAAATGTCATAGTGCAGTGGAAAAGAAAGAAGGTAGGGCATTGTAATATAAGTTTTGTGGCCAAAGTTTATATTGTCATCAGGTTACAAATGGGAAGTCACTTGTGCTAATAGGAGTATATTGGCAATATTCTGATGCCAATTCTGATTCCAAAATTCTATGATTATGTGAGGGAAAAAAACCAAGTCTCTTGGTGTAAAAGCATGTTGAAAGATAATGGAAAGAATTTGCATATAGCCTGCATCACTTATATCAGGGGTCCTCAAACTTTTTAAACAGGGGGCCAGTTCACTGTCCCTCAGTCTGTTGAGGGGCCGGACTATAGTTTGAAAAAAATATGAACACATTCCTATGCACACTGCACATTAAAAATAAATTTAAATAAAAATAATTTAAAAATAATTAAAATTTAAAAATAATTAAAAATAAAAAATGTTTGCTCTGCTCCCTCAGGCTGCAGCAGAAGCCCAAGATAAGGTGGGGAAGAGCCTTCTCTGGCCAAGCCATGGCTGCCTTGCTGAGCCAAGGGGCAACTGCTTGATGGTGGCAGCAGCTTGCCCATTGAAAGGCACGATTCCTGCGCCTCCGTGGCTCCCGCGTCCCCAGGGACGTGGCTCACATACTTAAAAATGGATTTTAAAAGTTATATTTTTCCTACCTTCAATCATTTTTAGCTTCTCTCCCTCCCTCTCTCCCCTGTCCTTTCTTCTGTTTCCCGCTCTGTACTTCTGCTTGGTATATGCATGCAATGTGGTGGTGGTGGGGAGCTGGCACACCCACAGTTGAACTTTTACAACTTGGTGTGTGTGCCACCTCTCTACTCAGTTTCGAAGAACGCTTGTGCTGGCTAAGAGCTTTCAGACTTGCTTGGAGATCGTTTTCTCTGAGTGAGTCCAAAAGCTCTGAGGCAGGCCAGATAAATGAGCATGGCAGGCCGGATCCGGCCCGCAGGCTGTAGTTTGAGGACCCGTGACTTACATGATTCTTAAGTGTTCAAAATTAATGCTGATGAAAAAATAATATGAAACTAATACATACCAAAATACATACCAAACAAACACATACAAACTGAGCTGTAATTAAAGTCAAATGTCAAAGTGTTCAAATTCTCCTGCATATGGAAATGATATCCTTTGAAAGATAGTGAGGACATGCCAAATTCCAATTTTCTTGGAAATTGAATGGGAAAATTGTGTACAATTAGTAACTTAGTATAACTTAACAAATTGGCTTCAGTGTTGTTTTCATATTCTATTCATTAACTTGCAAAAATTTAGAATGGGAAAATAGTGTTTCTTTCTGAAGCAGAATGATCAATTGCCCCAATTTTTAGGACAAAATATTGTTTCCGCATATGTTTCTTTTACCACAAGATGGCGATACTGATTTTTATTTTCAGGCACAAGTATTTTAATGTTTCTTTGGCATAACTTTAAATTGGTGAAATTTTCTTACATGTTTTGAAGAAGGGGCTGATGCGTTAAGGTTATCCTTTAATGGTTAAAATATCAGTAGTTAGAATTGTGCCCTGGTGTCACAGCCCAGGATTTATAGTTAGCTTTAAATTTGGTGACATTTACTTAAGCAGTTGGGATTGTGTGGGTATTTAAAGAACTGCATGGTAATTTAATACTTGATATTTTGTTATTCAGACTAAATTTTAGTTGGAAAATTATATCACCTCATGATCTTGCACATTTACTTGCTGATCAGTTGGAACTTGTTTTAGCTGCTGGAGAACTGAAAACCCATTGTAGCTCAGTAGTTTATGGATTATGAGCAAGAAAGTTATCTGCTATGTATGTCAAGCATTTCTTGGAGGGGTCATTTCTGGCAAAATTGTCTCACAACAGATATCTGGGTTGGGAGATACCCAACATCACGCTTCCTTGAAATACTGGCAATTTGTTTAACAAAAGTTTCATCCTCATCATCTCCTTTATTGGGTGGTTGGTACTAGACTCCAACTATCATGCTCCTTTTATTCCTTGACACATTTATTTTGACCCATATATTCTTGATGTTACTAGGGGCTCATCTTCTTGTATGTTGTGCAAGGATAACTATTTCTAACATATAATGCAAATCCACCTCTTTTCCTATTCCTTCTGCATTTTTAATAAGTTATACCCTTCAGTTGCTATATTCCAGTCATGGGAGTCATCCCACCAATTTTCAGTGATATCTATGAAGTTGTATTTCTCTCATGTTTTAAGAGTTCGTGTTCATGCTGTTTGTTTTCTGTACCCTGGGCATTAGAGTGTAGACACAGAAGACGATGTGGTTTATGGTCTAGCTTCTTTCCTGTGTTATTAAGAAGATGATCTGAAGCACTACTGGAGCTCTTTTCTCTGTTATGAGAGAAACTGGATGATCTGGGGCACTACTGGAGCCTTCATCCTCTCCTCTCATTGTCTCCAAGCCCACATCTCCTTCACCAGTAGGATTCAGTTTAAAGCCCACCTGATGAAATTCTTCATCCTGTGGCCAAACTCATTCTTTCCAGCTCTTGTGAGGTGCAACCCATCCCTTGCCAGCAGTCCATCCACCAAGTAACATATTCTGTGGTCACAGAATCTGAAGCTCTCACAGTGGTGCCACCTTTGTAAACAGTTGTTTATTTATTTATAGCTTTTATAACCCGCCCACCCCTGCCATCTCTCCCTTTCTGTATCTCTTCCAAGAATTGGGAGGATGGATGAGAAGACTATCTGGGCCCCAAAGTTCTTGAGTTTCTTTCCCAGAGCTTTAAAAGCAGATGTGATTTCTTTGTCACTCCATTTGGTGGTTCATTTCTTCCCATATAGATTAGAAGGGATAGACATCTGTGAGATTTATGAGTTTTGGCAATCTTTCAGTCACATCTGTAATCTGAGCTCCAGGGAGACAGTGAACCTAGTGAGCCCATGAGTCATTGCAGCACACTTGGGATTAAATCCCATGCAACAAGGTATCTCCCACAATGACTAATTTTCTTTCTTTTTTCTTTTTTTTGTGGTCACTTGTCTTTCTGCATCTTGCTTCCTGTTTTACAGGTTCCCTTCTAATTTGTCCTCTTCAGGCTGTCCACTGGTATCATCCTCTAGTGGTTGAAATATTTACTTAGCTCTAGTAGTTTCACTGGAGCGGAGTGTCTTCTGATTTGTCTGCTCCTAACTGCTACTCTTCTGCAGGGAGTTTCCTCTTCATTGACTTTCCTCAGCTCAGCATTCTCCATTTCTACTTCAGCTGGCTGTTATTCTTCCATTTCTGGTACTGTTTTTTGTTCTTGCAGTTCCACTGCTCTATTCAAGAATTCATTTCTTTATTTTATTCCTTGGAGGGTGGAAACCTTCTGCCCAAAGCACCCGTACCTTCTAATAGTGCAACCAGCTTACATTTGTTACTGTCAGGGAGAAAAACAAACTTGGCACATACTTGGCAGGTCACTACCACTGGAGAATCTTTTTCAGCCATTGTGTGCTACAGTAAGAGGAAGGAATATGTAGATATTTTGATTTTTAAGTCATCCAGTCTTCGACAGCATAGCTTTAACAAACCCTCAGAGAACCCATTGACGACTCTAGCTGACATAAATGGATGCAAACAACAATATTATCTCCACATATTTATTTCCTGTATTTATAACAAATTATCTGGGCTGCTTGCAACATGAAATAAAATTTGTGTTTGGTAGTGACAGCAAATGTCTATCAAGAAGTATTCTTTGTTTCAGGAGTATGAAAATTTGACCAAGCAATCTGGTTGCAACCCTGATGTTTGGGTGAATCTGGCATGCACTTACTTCTTCTTGGGAATGTATACACAAGCTGAACAGGCAGCACTGAAAGGTGAGAAGAGTAATTGAGTCTGTAAATCTATGCATACTTACATTGGACTAAGACCCACTGAACTCAGTAACACTGCACTTACTTCTAAGTAAGTACAAGGGATTATTCTCAGGTGCTACACCTGAACAAATTCATATATTTGAAAACACTGAATTGCTACTAATATTGTCATATATTCTTCCATGCTTTGTTTTCAGCTCCCAAAAGTAGACTTCAGAATCGTCTGCTGTTCCATCTAGCACACAAGGTATATATATGCATATTTTAAAAAAAGTAATTCAGAGGAACACATACAGAGTGCATCTGAGATGTTTTGAAATTCACTTCTCACCCCTTCCCAAAAATTTCCTTTAAAATCTTAGCTCCTGAAAGGCTAGTTTCAATGAAAGGCAAACTTACTTGTCTCTGTGCACAGGGATGGGCAATTTGTGACCCTCCAGGGTTTTGGCCTCCTCCATGGATCACTGCCTTGTCGTGGCAAAGGGGCTTGCATAGCTCAATGAAGCTATGAGCTATGCCATGCAGGGCCACCCAAGACGGACAGGTCATAGCAGAGAGCTCTGACAAAATGTGATCTACTGGAGAAGGAAATGGCAACCCACTCCAGTATCTTTGCCATGAAAACACCATGGACACTACCAAAAGGCAAAAAGATAAGACACCGGAAGATGAGACCCTCAGGTCAGAAGGTGTCCAATATGCTACTGGGGAAGAGCAGAGGCCTAGTACTAGTAGCGCCAAAAAGAATGAAGTGACTGGGTCAAAGCCAAAAGGACACTCAGTTGCAGATGTATCTGGTGGTGAAAGGAGAGTCCGAAGCTGTAAAGATCTATATTCCATAGGAACCTGGAATGTAAGATCCATGAATCAAGGCAAGCTGGACGTGGTCAAACGAGATGACAAGACTGAACATCGACATTTTAGGAATCAGTGAACTAAAATGGACAGGAATGGGTGAATTTAATTCAGATGACCATCAGGTATACTACTGCGGGCAAGAATCCCTCCGAAGAAATGGAGTAGCCTTCATAGTCAATAAAAGAGTAGGAAAAGCAGTACTGGGATACAATCTCCAAAATGACAGCATGATCTCAGTTCGAATCCAAGGCAAACCATTCAACATCACAGTAGTCCAAGTCTATGCCCCAACCACTGGTGCTGAAGAGGCTGACGTTCACCAGTTCTATGAAGGCCTACTACACCTTCTAGAATTAACACCAAAAAATGATGTCCTTATCATCATGGGGGATTGGAATGCTAAAGTAGGAAGCCAAAAGAGTATCAGAATAACAGGTAAATTTGGCCTAGAAGTACAAAATGAAGCAGGGCACAGGCTGGTAGCATTTTGTCAAGAGAATACAATGGTCATAGCAAACACTCTTTTCCAACAACCCAAGGGATGACTCTACACATGGACATCACCAGATGGTCAACACAGAAATCAGATTGATTATGTGCTCTGCAGCCAAAGATGGAGAAGCTCTATACAGTCAGTAAAAACTAGACCAGGAACTGACTGTGGCTCAGATCATGAGCTTCTTGTTGCAAAATTTAAGCTTAAATTGAAGAAAGTAGGGAAAAGCAAGAAATGCAAGAAAGCAAAATGGCTGTCTGAGGAAGCTTTACAAATAGCTCAGGAAAGAAGGGAAGCAAAAGGCAAGGGAGAAAGAGAAAGATACACCCAAATGAATTCAGAATTCCAGAGAATAGCTAGAAGAGATAAGAATGCCTTCTTAAATGAACAGTGCAAAGAAATAGAAGAAAACATTAGAATAGGGAGGACCAGAGATCTCTTCAAGAACATTGGAGATATGAAGGAAACTTTTCATGCAGAGATGGGCATGATAAAGGTCCAAAATGGCAGGGACCTAACAGGCAGAAGAGATCAAGAAGAGGTGGCAAGATTACGCAGAAGAACTATACAAGAAAGAGCTTAACGTCCCTGATAACCATGATGGGGTGCTCACTGACCTGGAATGTGAAGTCAAATGGGCCTTAGGAAGTCTGAGCAACAACAAAGCTAGTGGAGGCGACAGTATTCCAGCTGAGCTATACAAAATCTTAAAAGACGAAGCGGTAAAAGTGCTACACTCAATATGCCAGCAAACTTGGAAAACTCAACAGTGGCCACAGGATTGGAAATGGACAATTTACATTTCGATCCCAAAGGAGGGCAATGTCAAAGAATGTTCAAACTACCACTCCATTGCACTCATTTCACATGCTAGCAAAGTTATGCTCAAAATCCTACAAGCTAGGCTCCAGCAGTATGTGGACTGAGAACTACCAGAAGTACAGGCAGGATTTCGAAGAGGGAGAGGAACTAGAGATCAAATTGCCAACATATGCTGGATCATGGAGAAAGCTAGGGAGTTCCAGAAAAACATCTACTTCTGCTTCATTGACTATACTAAAGCCTTTGATTGTGTGGACTACATCAAATTGTGGCAAGTTCTTAAAGAGATGGGAGTACCAGACCATCTTATTTGTCTCTTGAGAAACCTATATGCGGGTCAAGAAGCAACAGTGAGAACTGGACACGGAACCACTGATCGGTTCAAAATTGAGAAAGGAGTTCGGCAAGGCTGTATACTGTCGCCCTGCCTATTTAACTTATATGCAGAGCACATCATGAGAAAGGCGGGGCTAGATGAATCACCAGTTGGAATTAAGATTGCTGGGAGAAATATCAACAACCTCAGATATGCAGATGATACCACTCTCATGGCAGAAAGTGAAGAGGAACTAAAGAGCCTCTTGATGCAGGTGAAGGAGGAGAGTGCAAAAGTTGGCTTGAAACACAACATTAAGAAAACTAAGATCATGGCAGCCGGTCCTATCACTTCCTGGCAAATAGATGGGGAAGAAATGGAGGTAGTGACAGATTTTATTTTCCTGGGCTCCAAAATCACCGCAGGTGGGGACTGCAGCCAAGAAATTAAAAGACACTTGCCTCTGGGGAAGAAAGCTATGGCAAACCTAGACAGCATACTAAAAAGCAGAGACATCATGCTGCCAACAAAAGTGTGTATAGTCAAGGCTATGGTTTTCCCAGTTGCAATGTATGGCTGGGAAAGCTGGACCATAAGGAAGGCTTGAGCGCTGAAGAATTGAGGTCTTTGAGTTGTGGTGCTGGAGGAGACTCCTGCGAGTACCTTGGACTGCAAGGCGATCAAACTGGTCAGCCCTACAGGAGATCAACCCTGACTGCTCTTTAGAAGACCAGATCCTGAAGATGAAACTCAAATACTTTGGCCACCTAATGAGAAGGAAGGACTCCCTGGAGAAGACCGTAATGCTGGGAACAATAGATGGCAAAAGAAGAAGGGGACGGCAGAGAATGAGGTGGCTAGATGGAGTCACTGAAGCAGTTGGTGTGAGCTTGGGTGGACTCCGGGGGATGGTGGAGGACAAGAAGGCCTGGAGGAATGTTGTCCATGGGGTCACAATGGGTTGGACACGACTTCGTGACTAACAACAACAAGGGTTTTGGCTCACAATGCTTAACAACCCTATCTGGCATAGCTAATGGTTAGGGATTATGGGAACTGTAGGACACCTGGAAGGCCACAAAGTGCCACCCTTGAGATATAATGTTGTTGGAAGCATAGATGCATAGGCACAAATGTTGAAAGCTGAATAGACAGAATGCTCTAAAATAAAGTATACTAGAGAAGAGATGACCTGTGGGTAGGAAGGCTGAAGTCAGTGGAAAGAAAAGTGGTTTCTGAAAGAAATATGAGGTGGAGTGCGTAGAGGCTTAAGAAAAACACAGGTAGAGAATTATTATTTGCCACCAGTTCTATGCATAATATAATATATTAGGTATCTGGAAATGCTGTTTTGTTTCTCAACATCATCATCTTTTCCCTTTAGTTTGGTGATGAGAAGAAACTGATGAGCTTCCACCAAAATCTGCAGGACATAACGGAAGATCAACTTAGCTTAGCATCTATACATTATATGCGATCTCACTACCAAGAGGCCATTGATATCTACAAACGCATACTACTTGATAATAGGTTGGGTCAGCCTTGCTTTCCCCAATTTATCATCCTCTATAACTGGGTTTTTGTTTTGCTTTTTTTTATAATTTTTCATAGAAGAAAGGCTCTTCCAATTCTGCCAGCGCTGCTAATACTCATTTTGCTGAGTTTTAGCAAATACCCATATAACACTTGTTATTGCCTTATGAGAATCTTGTTTCTTGATATACATTGTAATGTAACACATCCTCAAAAGTGTGCCCAATGAGACGCAGTAGTGACATCTAATTTTACCTGTGGTCTTCCACAAGAAGTTGCTTGAAATGTAAACTGCTAAAGGGAAAAAAGTGCATTAAGGCATGAATCCTAAACATGTTTGATAGAAAGACTTGAAACTGTGTGGGATAGATGGTTAATAACATTATTTGATATATCCAGTGTCTTTGCACATTTTAGTTGCCCAGAAGTGAATACCAGCACTGAGCTGCTTGTTCAGATAAGCAACTTTTTAAAAGTCTTTGCCTCAATGTTTTGAAAGTCCACAAAGCTGCTGTGAATAGATTTTCTGTTGTTCTCACTCATGTTTATGCGTGTATATACATGTTAAGAAAAAAGCATAAAGTTAGCATAAAGAAAAAGTTGCAGTCATTGAAAGTTGAGGGGGAGAGGTTCACAGTCATCTCCAATATTTTATCCATGGTCCTGTCTATAGCTTTTTAAAATGAAAATGGCTTGCCTAAGACTCTAGGAAAAGGGCTAGTGACCGCACTTGGGGTTTTGCTATGGTTTAGGATGCCCTTTTCTTAACTTTCTTTGTGTATGTTGTTTGTAGCAAAATACATTTATTAATCTTTTATCATGTTTGGACATACTACTCTACTACTGATTGAAGATGTGATGAAATGATTTATATGGCATTACTGGTACACCTATATTTTCATTGAGGAATCTTTTGCTTTAACTTGAGTTTTCTAACTTGCATTTTCTAAATTTAGCAATTATTTTTTGAAATGCGGTTAGTTGATGAAACACTTATGTCTAATTTTAATTCTTCAGGGAATATCTGGCCCTTAATGTATATGTGGCCCTCTGCTACTACAAGCTGGATTACTACGATGTGTCCCAAGAGGTGCTAGCCGTTTACCTTCAGCAGGTTCCTGATAGTACAATTGCTCTTAACTTAAAGGCTTGTAATCATTTCCGACTCTATAAGGGGAAGGCTGCTGAGGTACATTGTTAAAATTATTTTTCTCTTGGGTCATTTTCTCTAGAGGCATCCTTCAGTTGGCAGTAATATTTCAGGGTCTGCTCTTGATAACTGCTAAACATTTACAGTGTTTCACTGGGACAACTTTCAGTTTGTCTGACTGTATACAGGTATTTTTAGTTTTGCTGGTATATTTGTCACTTTTAAATGAGCTAGACAAATAGTAGTTGGGATGCACAAGATAAGATATTTGTTTAGACAATAATTATTATGGCTTTCCTTGATTACCAATGTTAATTGATTGTCTTGTTCCTTTAATTGTTTTTTACATTTCTTTAAAATAAAGGCAGAGCTTAAAAGCTTGATGGACAGTGCCTCAACATCTTTTGAGTTTGCCAAGGAACTTATTAAGCATAATCTGGTGAGTAATAATTGTGAAAGTCATTAGAGTGTATAAATGTGGTTTGTGGCGCTCAATACATTATATGTTATCCCAAATTGAATATTGGGAAGAAAAATAAAGTATTACAATTTCAAACATTTGAGATCATAATTAGTTTATTTAATACTAATAGTTTAATTTAAATTTCTGGAGACCTTCAAATGCTTCCCTTATTTTTCTGTCCCCCAGATCCTAGGGATCATCTCCCTCCAATATTTTGTACATACACATCTATCATCGTCTAACACTTCTTTTCCAGCCCCTTCTTCATTGTGTTGAAATTTGCCGTAGCCTCTTTTAGAAGGCAACTACTTTTGATCCATCCCCACTCCATTACTATTGGCCAATCTGATCTTTTCTCTTTGTTTGATACCAGATACCTGAATCAGATTATTTACTAGTGCTCTCCAGACTTTATCTCTTCCATCTTCACTCATGATACATCTTCCACCCTCACTGCTCTATTACAATTGGCCTTGCTAAAATCACTGTTCATCTACTCACTGTAACTCTGCCCTTGTTATCCTTGACCTATGTGCTATCTTTGATACAACTGAAAGTACTCTTCTGGTTTACTGTTTCCATTCCTTAGCTATATGTGACTCCGCTTTTAGCAGATTGTCCTTCTATTGGTCAAATCACTCATGTAAAATCTCCATGTGGAAAAGTTCCTCCTTTGGATTTAGATACCTTGATTTCCATTTTGTCTCCCTGCTATTTCCTTTCTCTCTATTGTCCTTCTCCCCGGCTGTTAATATAAAAAGAAAAAAAAAACAAGATCTTACAAAATACATATTTTGTAATCTTACATATACATTCATACCTACAAAATCCCCAAAGAAGCCAAACATTTCTCTCTGTCAATTAGTATTTGTTGAAGCTCACAAAAAAGATAATTATAGTTCTGTAAACCAACACGTCAATTATAAATCATCAACAATAGTTTATGACCTTCCTTTTGTTCTATATTAATTAGATTGCATATAATAGAATTTCCATTTATCATTAATGTTTCAATCAGCCTTCTGTTTGCATAATTAATTAATTTTCCCATCACTGCATACTCAGCCAACTTATTTTTCCAGTCTCCATTTGTTGGACATTCTGCTATTTTCCACTTATTAGCAATTGTAATTCTTATTGCAGTTGTCAGATACTTGAATAACTCTGACATATTCTTTGGAAAACTCTCTGGCATTATATTCAAAAGCATATTCTTAGCACTCATGGGAAAGTTGGGTTTTTTTGTATTTCTGCAGGTATTGATTTCCAAAATCTTTTAATTATATTTCCCACCATGCTAATATATCCTTTTCTAACATTTCTGCTATTGTACCATCATCTGCTATTGAAACCCTGGTGCCAAAATAGTTTTTTTAAATAACAATTGCTCAAACAAAGCAATTCTCTTCCTTTTATCCCTTTTACTAGATTCTAGTCCTTTTCCATATCTAATATAAATTCCTTTTCCTTGCCTTTTAATTACATTATGTTTGGGCCATATTTCCTAGTGTAACCCTTTCCACGAATTCTTTTCTACATCTACCATGATCGATGGCCAGATGGTAGCCTTTTTCATTCTAATGACTCTGTTCTTTCACCATTTATGCCTTCTATGTTTGAAAATCTCCCAGTGAAATGTGCTTGGTGTCATCTCTTTCTCTTCCTTTTATTCACTCCTCAAAATCCATATTTGCTATGATGCCTTGGAATTGACTTCATATCTCTTCAGGTAGTATTCCGAGGAGGAGAAGGAGCTCTCCAAGTACTTCCTCCCCTGGTTGATGTCATTCCTGAAGCTAGATTGAATCTAGTAATTTACTACCTCCGACAAGGTACCGAATCTTGATTTTTATCTTCTTTTACTTTCTTCTTGTCTCTTCTGTTGACTCATTAACATATGTTTTTTGTGGGGGAGATTGTTTTTTTGTTTCTTGTTTTTTGAGAATAGAGTGGGGATGGGGCTGCAGCTTCTTGACTTTTCTTTAACTTGTGATACTGTGGGAATTAACAAATGACTTATGTTCTTGGTTTGTAAAACAAACAAACAAACGCTATGCTACTACTGATTTCCTGTTTTTATGCTGTAGTGGTATTATCACACTTGTAGAAGCAAGGAGAGAGTTTGCCTATAGCAAGGATAGAGAAATACTGCAGTGTGGGCCTGTTTGGACCTGTAGAGGTTCTTTAGCTCATGGAAGCTTTGGCTCCCTTCCTAGGCCCTGGCCACTCCCCTTTCCAAGCTCAACCCCTTGAGGCTATCAATGACCTGGAGAGGAGACAATGGGAGGGGCAGGATTAAGTTTGCCAAGTTTCAGAATGATCACTGGAGGAAAGGTTGTGCAGGAATAGCTTTGAAGGTCTCCAAAAGAGTACATGACCACCATCTAGACCACTGTTGAGAAGATGACAGCCAATATAAAGCTGTCCCAATGGAAGAAACATGCACATTTTCAGAAGGATACTGCAGGAATTCAAGTGGAAGGGGAGAAAGAAACTAGAGGAAAAGCTGTCCTTGACTTTATAATAACAACAGGGATGACCCAATGGATACAGTGGTTATGCTAACTCTGAGAGAGAATGACCATGTCATACTTGAATTCTTGATTCTAAAGTAAACAAAAGCTGAATGTAGCCAAACATGTACCTTGGATTTTATGAAGTGCATACCTGAAGGAGGATACAAAACTGGTTGGAATAGCAAATACCCAAGAACAGTGGTGGCAAACTTATGGCATGTGAGCCACAGCAGGCACGGAGAGCCGTCTCTGTTGGCCCGCGAGTCAAGTTACCCCAGCATCGCCCCAGCAGCCAGGCATCGGATAACAGCGCACATAGGGGCCATGTGCATGCTTAGAAAGGAGTAGTGGCACCAGGCAATGATGTCACGAGCTGCGACTCATCAGCTGCGACTCGTCCGAGCTTTCGCATGGCCGGTCAGTGCACTGCCAAGGATATATATATATTTGCTTGGACTGGCTGTGAATTGTTTTTTCTAAACTAAAACCACAGTTTTCAGGTTTTATTGCAGTGTTTGTAATTTGCGATAAGTAAGTGGGTTTTGGGTTGCACTTTGCGCACTCGGTCTCTAAAAGGTTCGCCATCACTAGGTTAGGGTTAGAGAAACAAGGTGTCCTGGCATGGTTTTGATGGTTGGAGTGTGTTTAGAATGGGCAGAAATGCTGAGCTGTGTAGAAAAGGCTACTCAAGGAAGGCTTTTTTAAAATCGCGCTCTTTTCAAATGTATTTTAGCCCTATATTAGAGTTAGAGGTGTGCACCAGGGTAGGGTTAGGGCATTGGTGGTGAACCTATGGCATGGGTGCCACAGTGGGCATGCAGAGCCCTCTCTTTCAGCACGCAAGCCAAGTCACCCCAGCATTGCCCAGCAGCCGAGCACTGGATAACAGCGCACATAGGGGCCATGCACATGCTCAGAAAGGAGTAGTGGCACCAGGCGATGGCGTTTCAAGCCATGACTCATTAGCCACAACTTGTCCAAGCTTTTGCATGGCTGTTCAGTGCGCTTCCAAGGATATATATATATTTGCTTGGACTGGCTGTGAGTTGATTTTTCTAAACTAAAACCTCAGTTTTCAGGTTTTATTGCAGTGTTGGCACTTTGCGATAAATAAGGGGGGTTTGGGTTGCAGTTTGGGCTCTTGGGCTCTAAAAGTTCACCATCACTGCACTAGAAGACAGAATGAAGATCCTGGCCAATCTTGATAAACTTGAACACTGTGCTGAAAGCAACCGGATCAGATTCAATAAGGACAAGTGCCATGTCCTCCACCTAGGAAAAAGAAACCAAATGCATCAATACAGGATGGTGAATACATGGTTCAACAGAACTGAAAAAGAAAATGAACTCGGAATAATTGTGAACAATAGCCTAAACATGAGCCAACAATGTGATGCAGCTGCAAAAAGGGCAAATGCTATTTTGGGATGGATTAACAGAAGCATTAATGAGGTTTATGAATCTGGCATCAACATAATTGACTTTAGGATGAGGATGCTAGGAATCATTACTTTTCTTAAAGATTGAATTGACCTTTTCTTAAAGGTCAATTTTTAATAAACCAGATATTTTGCTTAAGTTCAGTCACAGGGGTGTTACCATCTATTTCTGTCCAGTCCTCAAAGGATGAATAAATGTGGAAGAGAAAATAATTTGTTTTTTTCCAATATGCCTAGAAAGTATATATGAGGGCAGTGAGCTTTTGAACAAAAGAAACTATTACTTAGATCATATTTGTTGAAAATGGCTAATGAAATGCAACAGAAGAATGTCCAAATGTTTTACATTGTATCATTTCTTTTTCTCATTTTTCTTTCTCAACATTGTTGGGGAAAGGTGAGTCGGTGATGAGGAAAGTGATGTGTGCTATAAAATGTTGTTTCAGATGATGTGCAGGAAGCTTACAACCTGATTAAAGACCTGGAACCTACAACTCCACAGGTAAAGATTTGGGCATGGTTATATGGAGTAAATATATAAATGGTTCTACCAAGGAAAATAATATTACTTGGGATGTGTCATGGTTGCAGAACTCAATAAATTGTGTATAATGTATCAGTGCATTTTACAGATTCAGTATAGTCTCATCTTCTTGAAAAGGAGAGTGATAAACCTCTCTTAAACAAAAGTATTGGAATCTAGGAATTGGGTTCTTTTTTGTAGTCAAAAAGCTTATCTTTCTTGGGCCAACAAGGAGCTTATCTACAGCATAAAAAATCTTCCTTTGCTGTCTTCTCATTTTAAAAAATGATGTACAGTACTCAATTGGACACTAGCACTAATGTAATTTATGCTGTGCTAATATAAGAAATTCTAGTGCATCACCAGTAGATTTAGTCAGTCAGATGGGATTCCCTGGGCTGAATCTATGCTAAGTTTCTCTTGGGTCCCATTGAAATCAGAAGTTGAACTCTGAAATAAAAAGTTAAACATGAATACATTTCAACAGGAACTTGAAATTAATTTACTTGGTCCTAACACTCCAAGTTTGATAGATGCAATAATATGAGTTGCACAAGAATTTGATGAATTCTTGTCAGCATATGCAAGGGGTGCTAGGTGGTACACTTGTTAATGGATGCCATTTTCCACAGAATAAAGAGATTTCTACATATTTTTAAATTATGTAGATCATTCCAAATATACTATTAATCTTTAGAATTCTGCTTCAGAATGGGTTAACTCAACCTACTTTTCATATGAAGAAAGATGCTATGTATTTGGGTCAATTAACTCCAAGGCATCACACATATATCTGAACTTAAAACTTATTACTGATTCCACATTCTTTGCCATATTTCTAAAATTAGTGTCTGGGTTAATGAATGCCATAAGAACCCGAAAGCTGGGGAGAATATAAATGTCTGTCTAATTTATAATTGCCCTTGCACCCAGGATGGTTCAGCTCATAGCATTTGCTGGCATTAATCAGTATATTTGTGTGGCTGTTTTAGAAACTCAAGCAACTCTCTGAATTACTTAAGCTTATTAATATTCAGACTTGTTATGATGATCTTTATAATGCAGTTCTCATTTCACGCAAGTCACTGGCTTCCCAGGGCTGTTTTTGATTTGTATATTTGATATGATCTAAGTTAGACATTTAGAAACCATAGGTTCAGAAATTTATGTATTTTAAGCTAATCTGAGTAGAATAATTGCAAGTTACCTTAAACTTCAATTAATAAGTTGCCTTATGTTGAAAATTTTGGTGTTGAATCTAACTTTTCTCTAGGAGTATATTCTCAAGGGAGTGGTGAATGCAGTCCTTGGGCAGGAAATGGGATCAGTAAGTATAACAACTTTGTAAAATAGCAACTTGTAAGGAGGAGACAGTTCAGAAGCTTTCTGTATTTCCTTTATTTTTATACAGCAAATCTGTAGTCATCATCACCAGAATGCTTATGCTGTCAACACCAATTATTTTCTGAATGTCCACTGTTAATAATATGTCACTGTCAAAAAATTTTTGCATTTAATTTCGCTATGACTGTTTCCTCCCTGTTCACAGGTCCCAACCAACTATGTATATTGTATATATACCTGAAATTCTTGAAAACACTTCCTGTACTTAATGGAATGGACTATAATTGGCAAAATTATATGCTGTTATAAATGTGTTTGTCTTTTAAGTTTCCACAGGATACTTTGTAGTAAGAGACAAAGATAACACAGCTATCTCTGTAAAAACATGTATACTGTTAATGAACTTGGCTGCTGTGATTGCTATTATAGCCAAAATGGGGTTACTGAGAAACAAGAGGGAGATATTGGCACCTTCAGAGGGATGGTTATATATCTTCAGGATCAGGGACAGTATGTCAGTGAGCACCAGGTGCTAGGGAACATGGGTGGGAGGGTACTGTAACACTTATGCTCAGCTTGTGGCTTAAACATGGGCAATTTATTGGCTGCTGCTGTGTGAAAAAAATGCTCTTTGGTCTGATCCAACATAGCTTTTTTTTTAATGAACCCAAAGTATTGGAAAGTAGAAAAAAATCTCTGAATGCATAATCAAATTGGGATGCCCATAACCCTCCAAACTGAGAGGATTATGGGCATCCTATAATGGGCAGTAGGAGCACAGAGGTGAAGGTAACTTTCGTGCTACCCCTGTCCTACAAAGCACAGGCAGCTGATTTTAGCAGTCTAAGTTCAGTACTTTGGAAGAGGCACTACCAGGGCATCTCATATCTTGTCTGCTTTCCTCCCTACCTGCCAGAGCACCCCAAAAATCCTTTCTCTGAATTTGCTGCTGTGATTTTGGAGAAACACTGGTTGCAAGGGGAGAAAGGGAATCCAAGCAGTATGAAATTAGAACAAGTTTCCAACTTTGTTGCTAGGAATCAAAAAGAACCCCTCCACAAACAAAACAAGTTATGGCCATAAAGATATTATTGAGTGCCTACAGAATTCCACTGCTCATGGATTTGAAAACTAACAGCCCAGTGAGAAATAGTTCAGAAGTCTCAGAATGCTGAGTGACCATGAGGGGTGGGTGGGTGAAGAAACTTTTCTGTCAGGGAGGGGGAAATGGGGTGGAGTATCCTGAAGGACAGCACAAACTGGTGTTTTCGAAAGTCAGTGAACTGAGCCTCTCTGCCTGGCTTTCATAAATATCTGCTTTGTGTTTGTAATGGATGTATATTATGAATGATCATAGATATTTCATTTTAAATAAGTTTTGGACCCTTTGCTTATTCTTGTCCAGTCTAAAGGTTACCTTGATTATTTATTTTGAATTTAAAAAGGCCAATGAGGAAACAAAAAGTACGTAAAAGGCCTAAATGCTTTCGATCCTCACTTTTTTATCTTAATTCCATTCAGAGTTGCTTCTCCACTGCTATATGGGCATCAGGATAATTTTAACATTTGCAGGTAACATCTAGTGTGATTTCCATAGAAGAATATAAAAAAAGAATCACACTGGTTCAGACCAAAGCCTGACTGGTTCACCATTCTGTTCGCACAGTGTCCCTTTTGATGCCCATAAGAAACCCACGAGCAAGACCACTCATTCTCCCAGCAACTGGTATACAGAGGCATATTGCCACATTGCAAAGCACATTATAGTGGATTCTATGCTTCTTTGTTTCTTTTCCAGAGAGATCATTTGAAAATTGCTCAGCAGTTCTTCCAGCTTGTTGGAGGATCAGCCAGTGAATGTGGTATGTTTTACCTTCTTTGTGTTCTCTTCAGCTGTCAGTACTACCAGCAAATGCAAGCTTTGCCAAGTTAGTGCTACCTGGGTATAATAAAATATTGTATTTTCTCTATGTCTGTGGCCAGAATTAAACATCATGATATACTTGCATCTGCCACCAGGAACAACTATCTCATTTCTGTTCTCTGTAATAGCTAATCCTTGATCTTGACATAAAAACAACTGTGCATTTCCCTGATCCTTCTGTGTTGTTAGTGGGTCTTTCGCCTCCAACCTCTCTCCCTTTCACTTCTCAGCAGATCAAGATGAGAGGCTTCTAACTACAGTTTTTATTATGTAAAAGCAGGCCAGCTAGGATTGTCTTTGTGATATAAAAAGGTTGATGTAAAGGTTGTGAGCAAATGACAGCCATGCTAATTGGTATTGTTCCAGCTAAAAAGTTGATTCCAAGCTGGTCCCCTCTTTCCTTCTCCATCAAACAGAATTTCTTCCACTCTCAGTGAGCTTCCTGTGGATCAGACATGAGAACATCAAACATTCATTTGGCCAGCTCTCTTGACCTGGCATAGAACAATGGGACTTATTAAGTTATATCCTTCCCCATCTGGCCATTCCACTGTGTCTTCCTTTGAACTAGAGGTGGTTTGGTTTTCTCCAGATGTTTGGCTTATCTTGAAGTTTGCTGGCCTTGGTATTTCAACTAATAATCTGACCCTGCCTCTTCATCCAATTCAGATTCAGAGTCTGAGGTACCTAGGAATGCTGTATCAAATGCACCTAGGAATGCTGCATTTTTGGAGAAACGGGCCTTACAGTTTGCATCTTCCAGCAGCAACTAATATTAAGAAACGTTGCACTAGATATGAGTGAAAATTGATGAAAAAAACTGAACTGATGAGATTTTTGTGGAGAGCCATGTGGATGTTGTTTAAGTCTTGTTTTGCTTAAATTTGTACAGTACATCTTAATTTGCATAGGTTATGAAAGCTCATGTTATATTATTTCAAAGTACTGCAGTGCATTGATATGACTAATTCTCTGATGAACTGATATGACTAATTCTCCAAAAAGTTTCAATATAATATATTGGTTTTTTAATTGATCCTTTGGTAGCACTATGTCCAAAAGTATTTTATATTGGAAAGTTTCCATGTGCCTTGAATACACATTTATTTATATATTTATGAGTTTCTTTTCAGCCCAAATAGGGTCTCCAAGATGCCTTTGACAGTAACAAAGCAAGGCTTCAGGCCTCCTCAGATACACTGTAGTTTCACAGAAACCACACCAAGTAAACAATAATTATATGCAGGATATATCTTAACAAGAGTGCATTGCAGTAATCAAAATGGAGGGGTGATTAAGGTGTTGATCACCGAGACCAGATCTGCCTTTTCTGGGAAGGGGTGGGGTAACTGTTACCAAGCTGACAAAAGGCTCTCCTAGCCACAGCAACCACCTCAAGCTGCAAACCTGATCCTTCAGAGAGACATGCAAAATAGGCTGTACCTGGAATGCTAGATTTGCTTTCCTGTTGACTAACAGTACATCTGTCTTGTCTGGAAGCTTAGCTTGTTAGTTCACATCCAAGCCTATGACTATGTCTAGAAAATGGTTCAGAACTTTTACAACTTCCATGGCATCAGTTGACAAAGAGAGATAGAGCTGGGTATCTTCAGCAAAGCAGCGAAACCCAGCCCGTAAAATTCAGGAAAACCTCTGCCAGTGGTTATCCAGATGATAAACAGCACAGGAGACTATAAACAGAACCCCCCAAGGATCCTATAAGCTGCAGAAATAGTTCAACAGTACCATTTCTGCAGTTTTCCAGCACCACCTTCTGGAAGCAGAACATCCTTGCCAAGTGAAGATAACCACTCATGTTTCTGATGAATTCCAGTACCCAAGAACTAATGGCACAATAAATGTGTAAATGAATGAGATTTTAAAGAGCTGCAGGACTCTTGTTGCTGTAAAGTAAGCAGTTATTAGACTTACTAAAGTCAGGGATGATTTGGATTTTTGCTTTGTATCTTTTCTTGCTTTGTATCTTTGCAAATGATTATGCCTTTGATATAAAATGTGAAGTGAGATTCTCAAGATTTTGCCCTAGGTGAGGCATTTAACTTCTGGATAAATTTTCTATGATGCATTTCTGCAATGACTTGAACTATACAATTGTTGTCTATATTGTACTCTTTCGCATCTCTTCTCTTTCCAAAAGATAACGCTTATGCCTATATTGTCCAGTTTTCTGGTCGCCAAGCAGTAGTTGTGAGCTATAAAAGAGAATAAAGTGCATATAGTCAAGGCTATGGTTTTCCCAGTTGCAATGTATGGCTGGGAAAGCTGGACCATAAGGAAGGCTGAGTGCCAAAGAATTGAGGCCTTTGAATTGTGGTGCTGAAGGAGACTCCTGCGAGTCCCTTGGACCACAAGGCGATCAAATCAGTCAGTCCTAGAGGAGATCAACCCTGACTGCTCTTTAGAAGGCCAGATCCTGAAGATGAAACTCAAATACTTTGGCCACCTAATGAGAAGGAAGGACTCCCTGGAGAAGAGCCTAATGCTGGGAACAATAGATGGCAAAAGAAGAAGGGGACGGCAGAGAATGAGGTGGCTAGATGGAGTCACTGAAGCAGTCAGCGTGAGCTTAAGTGGACTCCGGGGGATGGTGGAGGACAAGAAGGCCTGGAGGAAGGTTGTCCATGGGGTCATGATAGGTCGGACACGACTTTGGGACTAACAACAACAACAACATAAAAGAAAAAAGAATGTTAGCTAGAACTGTGCTAGTTATACTCAGAGTACCGATGCATAAATTCTATTCCTCAGATACAGTTCCTGGAAGACAGTGTATGGCATCTTGCTTCTTTCTGCTCCGACAGTTTGATGATGTTCTAATTTACCTCAACTCAGTAAAGGTTAGTAAATTTTTCAAAAGCTAGTAGCAGTCTTTCTATACATCCTTCACATATTACTTTCTGTGGATTTGACAGAATCTGAGAGGAATGATAATGTACATTATGTAACATTAGAGACAATGAACAGCGATGACTTTCAAGTATCAGTGAAAATTGTCTTCATTTAGTCCTTAATTCTGCTGGAGAATACTGTGATGATACCCCTGGTGAGCATTCTATTGTGGCTCCCAGTATTAAGATTCTTGTTCTTTTGGGTATAATTTTGCACTTCAGTTAAATATCATCTGTTAATTCAGTTGCCAGTCACCAAGCTTAGAAACAGCTTTTCAAGCTTTTTACACCCCATGAAGTTTTTGAAATCAAAATACAATACTGCTGACAGGAAGATTATATTAAAGGTTACATATAATTATTTCCTACATGTACATGAGGATTTGAGAGATCCAGTGTATATATTATACTTAATTTTCCTAGCAAGAGAGTTCACTATTTTACTCCTTGTTTTGGACTGTGACTGTGCCACCTGACACAGCCCTGTCCAACCATTGCAGTATCCACATTCTACACAAAGACATGCCCCTTCCACCCGGCATATTTCAGACTTGCTGAATCAGTATGTGTGATGATTGTGGTGGGTGTGTGGAAAGATCGTAATAAAACTTAATGCTAACAGAACTCTCTGCAGAGCTGGAAGATCTGCTTTGGCAGATTTTTTCAAGTCTGGTGGGACTGTTGGTGTTCCTCTTGGGAGAGTAGGAGGAATACAGGTCCACCGTGTCTGTAGACCTCTGTTCATGCAACATTGCTTCTGCTGGTAGATGATCGGCAAAATAGCATGTAATGTGACAATAGCATAGTTCTTTTCTGAAGAATCAGATATTTTCTTTTTTTAGCATAAAATTATATTAGTCTAGTATTGTTGTATTTACCAGTTTCAAAAGTGACTGACTGCTCAGCATCTAATGCATTTAATTGATTTGGAGACAGAGATGAAAAATCTGTATTAGTTAGCAGAAAGGAGCAGAGTGATAAAGATCAAACAATGTCTATCATTTTCTATATTTATATGACTTGCATCTGTTAGGAAAAGACATAAAAATGAATGATTTAATAAAATTAGGCATTCTAGTAAGAGACATAAAAAAATGAACTGCAGCTGCATATTAGGGATCTTGACTTTTGGAACTGCATGGCGTCACCTGCTGAGATCTTTCCCAGCTCAACTAATTGAAAATTGCTATAATTAATAAAAAAGAATGTCTGGAATGTAAGGCACAGAAACTCATAATATAAAAGCACACATCACTCAATGACAAAGTAATCTGGTCTGCCCCTGAATATTTTTCCTAAGTATTTTGTACTTATATAATCATACTATTTTCCTTCAGAATACTCACTGGGGCTATATTTGATCAGCTATGATTTTGTTTATGTGGTAGAAGATTTGCTTTAATACAGACAGAAATGAAAGAGATAAAACAGAAGCAAATTAAAAATTGAAGGCACACAAAGGAAATTACAAAATAAACTACTGGGCATGATATTGAGCTGAACAAAATAAAAGTGTTGGAGTAAGCACAGGGTTAGACATGCTTAGAAACTGATGGTACTGTACTAAGCTTGATTCATAATCTGATAAGGCAGTTAATGTAATGCTTAAATGTTCCATTCTGATGTTGGCATCCTTCCACTTTTTGTGTTCCAAGCCAATGTGTTTAGGTAATGCTTCGTACCTCCCACATAGCCAAATATATCATTACAACGGAGCTGACTTTCCCATAAGCGGAGGTGAAAAGCTTTTCTCCCCAAATGTGGAGTTGGCATGAATGTGAGCAAAATATGTTTTAATCTTCTCTTACTGGCCAACAATTTGTCCTTCAGCATGATTAGCAAAAATCAGAATGAATGATGCACATTTACATGCTGCAGTATTCAACTTTTCTTGGTACTGAATTTGGGTTACCTTGGACAGATTTTTTTAAAAATGCAGTTTAAATAGGATATAATACAGAAGAAAGTATACGAATGAGCAGAATTCATTTAAGAGAACATATTCTGAACTATCCTAAAATAAAGAGTAGAAGGGGCAGACAGCAGAAGAGCTTACCAAACAGTAAACAATGCCTAGATTCAAATATCACATTCTTTGATCTTCCAAACCATGGAATTTGATTCAACCCTAACCTTCCTCACCGTGTTGATATAGCTTAATAAAATATACCCGGAATTTTAAGCTGCAGTATTCTGCATCACCTGAACTGGTAAACTGTGGTTAAGCGAACACTCCAAGCAAGGGTCAAACTGTGGTTTAAACAATCCTAGTTTACAAAGATTGCTGAAACCACAGCTTGCTAGTTCAGATGTCACAGCAAATTGTGATATGACAAACTTGAGTATGTTGTATTAGGTCAGATATGCAAAGTGAGGAGGCAATGAATTCACACAAAACTCATTCCTGATGGGCAAATGTGACATCTAGCTTCAGCTAGTGTAAGTAGTGTAACATATTATAAAAATGTATTTTGAAGACCTCTGGATTCCTGTCCACATCTCACCTTCCCAGTTATGTAGACAAGACATCACAAGTCCATCCTACTTGCAATTCCAGTGGCCATTTCTCATATAACTATTTTGATTCAATTTAATTATAGATAACCAGGGCTTTTTTTGTCATAGAACGCACCGGAACAGTGTTCCGGCACCTTTTTTTCCAATGGATTTTACGAAATGATTAAGTGATTTGTAGCAGATCAGCAGCAAACATCATTAACATAATGCCTGCAGGCTGCTTTTGTGTCTGCTATCTGATAGTGAGATAGTGAGGGCTGCTCTCGGCTTGGGATTGGTGTGTGTGGTCGCACGCTTACTGCCGGCAGCGATGTGAGTTCTGGCACCCTTTTTTTTTTTTTTTTTTACAAAAACACTGTAGATAACTAAGAACAAATTTATGTGAATTGCATCAAACAAATTGCATGCATTTAGTATATGCTATGTTGGCATTTACTTGTGAAATTGGTTCTTCTCTTTTCAGGATTATCTCATAGGGTCACCTGACAAATTAACTGAACTATGTTAGGAACAATCAATGAAATCCATAATTCCAAGAATAGCATAAATAGATTTAAAAAAACCCAGATCTTTAGCATTCACTTAACTAAATTAGGGAATTAGCCATGAAGAGATGAGTGAAAATTGGAGGCAAGAAGTTACATCACAGCAGGATCTAACATGGCCAGAAAGAAAGGCAAATTAAAGGAAGATGCTACCCTACAATTTTTGGCTTGGGACTTCCCACAAATTCATTGTTTCTAATGCCATGGAACATTTCAGCTATATATGCATTCACAAACTTTAACACAAAATTTCTATGCTATTTATTTTCTGAGTGTGACTTATTTTCCAGAGTTACTTCTACAATGATGACACTTTTAATTTCAACTATGCCCAAGCCAAAGCTGCTACTGGCAATACTAGTGAGGCTGAGGAGGTATGTATCTGCTTCTTTAAAACACAGGCAAAAAAGAAAAAGATTTCCTACTTTCCTGCTTGAACCTTGTGAGTCTGTAGCCTGTGCTTTCCTGAAATACCAGTAGGAGGCCAGCATTTCATTGAAACTCCATTCTGGAATCATTCTTGTCTTCACCTTGTCTTCAGTTTTTGGCTTGTTGCTTTCCAACATGTGTTGTTAATGCTGCAAAGCAAGTCACAACTATCCTTTTAAGATTTCAAAGCTCCAGAGATATTTTGATGAAACAACTTAGGAGATAGTTTTGTGGTGAGAAGCATAAACTCTAGAACTTGGAAGCTTAACCTCATCTTCTGCAGGATGGGAGGAGCAATGGAGGTAATCTCCACCTCCGTCCTCTTGACATGCATTTTCAGTAGACAGGCTTTTTTGCTCACCTAGCTGGGGCGCATCAGAGGCTGGGCAGGTGTTAGGACAGCTCATATTATGGCATCTCCAATCTCTCGGCTCCCCACCCAACATACCCATTTTCCACCCTCTCCAGATGTTGCATTTCGGACCTGTGTAAGACAACTAGCTCCAGCTGTGATGGGGAGAGGGACAGAATTCCGATTCCCAGTTCCAACCTCAGAGCTGGAATACAAAATACCTTATGACCCCTCAGACATTGTCTAAGGCCTATAGGATTTTTCTGTCCATGATTCAATTGTCTATCTGTTTTATAGTAACTTTCTCTACATGTGGCATTTTGATATTTTAAATTATTTTTATGTCTTGCTACTGTTAAGTGCTTGTCTTACCTTCAGTTTAACTGTATGTTGGGAGTCAGGGCATGTGAACTAAAAATTGGATACTGAATGCAAACAGAAGCTTGTTCTTTTCTTTCTCTTCTTTCCTCCAGGTGTTTCTCTTGATTCAAAGTGAGAAAATAAAGAGTGATTTTGTTTTCCTCAGCTGGCTGGCTCGTTGCTGTGAGTCACTTTAGTCTGTGATAGAATGCAGCTTTTTTCCTATTGCATCAGCCTTGGCAATCTTATTTTTTC